TTGTGTGATGTGATGATATATGTATATTATCGATATTGAATTTGATTAATGATATTGGCGTAGCTGCGACTGAGTTTACGAGTGTCTGTTCTGTAATTGATGCTGTGTTTATCTCGGTTGATGTAAATAATTTCTAAAAAGTTACGTTTATGTTTGTTTTGTTCTGTGTGTAATATTTTTGGATTGTTGAAGTCGAAATTGTGTTTGTGTTCAAAACGGTGGGTAGCGACTGCTGTAGGATTTTGCTTGGGTTTTTTGCAAAAAAGCACTTTACAGCATGGATGCTTATCCGTCTGCCGGAAGTTGGCTGTTCTTTTTTAGGCGAGCGAAAAATAAAAAATAAAATAAACTATATAATAATGGTAATAATAGAAAACTATAGTAAAAACTAAATTATAAAAACTAGCTGATTTTAGATATGTTAAACAATTATGACTCGGTATTATAATCGTACCTATATTGCCAGGCATGACGTGCATAGTGTGCTAGACCTTTCGACCTCTCCATATCCACGATATTTAACGATCAAGCAGCTGAGACCTGGAAAGCAATTTATAGCCTAGGTACAAGATACGGAGTTCAGACAGTATGGGACACTGGGCAACAAAATGAAAGATATCTTCCCTAACTCTTAGGTTACACAGCGGGCACAAGAAATTTCCGTCGTCTTCCTTCCACGGCACAGAATTGAGGAACACTTCCTCGCATCTGAGTTTAAGAAGCCATCGAAGAGTCGCAAGTTTTATAGACCCACTAGCTTTAACATTTAGGTTAAAGGTTTCCTTAAAGTGGTCTAGGGCCTTAAAGAGAAGATACCTGTTGGAGACCTGAGCCCATGCTCACAACTCACACTATGTTGATCACGTAGTCTGCATAAAAGTTTCATGGTATAATTGGGCCAACTCGAGAGGTTTTCTAAACAAAAAGAAAAATCGCAACCATATTGAGAAGCTAAAGTATTCCATTGCCGAAACCAAGAACAATTAAATTTAATAACCTCGAGAGCAGTAATTTTGGAGATTCGGGCAACAGGGCCCTTAAGTACTCTTAAAACAAATGAAAAATGCAGGGAAAGCGTAAAAAGGAAAATTTTATCCACTGCCGTCTCCATATAAAGCATATAGTTTGGAGTAGAATTAGGCAGTGAGAAGATCTTCCTAAAAAAAAAAACATTGCACTCTTTCTCTCACTTCATAATCCTGGAACCCCCACACCTGGCCTGCATAACACAAAATAGAACGGCACACTGCATTAAATACCTTGTACTTAAGAGTAAACCGGGATTAGATTCTGGGCAAAAAACTAACACCATGTTCTTTTCAAAGCAACCTTCGCCTCTGAAGCTTTGGATTTTAGATAAGGGGTAAAAGATAGGAAGTTAGGACAACTCCAAGATATTTATATTGGTTAACCACATCAACCCTCTCACCCTGGAAAAACCAACGCTCGGCCTTGGCAGGCCTGCCTCCTCTTCTAAACACCATTATCTTTGATTTAGCCAGGTTGACAGTGAGGTTCCATTGATCACAGTATGATTCCAGGGATGATGATACCACAGTACTATCTGTTATCAAGACTACATCGTCAGCATACATTAAAATCTTAATAATTGTACCACTAACACGGACTCCAAAATCCAAGCTAGACGGGAGATCATCCAAGAATAAGGAAAAGAGTAAAGGGCTCAGGACACATCCTTGTCTCACACCACAAGATACCTCAAAAAATTCGGAAATACCTCCTGACCCCCGACCACACTCTTAGTCTGTGAGAAAATTACCTTCACGACCCTTATAAACTGACTAGATACTACCAAATTACCGAGTTTCAGGAAAACAGCATGGAAATGTATGTTGGTTTGTTTGTATTTGATAGATTTGATGTAGTATTATTACTAATAGTGGATGGTGTTAGTGTTGAGTTGTAGTTGTTGATTATTCTGTTGATTATGTGTTTAGGGTAGTGATTGTTATGGAGGATCTGTTTGTATATCTTTATGTTCTTGTGATGAAAAGTTTCATGTCTCAGGGTAATAATTTTTTGAAGTAACCCTTTGGCCGTGTTTATTATTGTATGAAGAGGATGGTGAGATGTAAAGTTGAGGTAGCGATCTGTGTTTCTTGGTTTTTGATACCAATCTGTGATTAATGTGCCATCTGGTTGTTTTATTACGAGTGTATCTAAAAATGGTACTTGGTAGAAATGCTTTGATTGAATATAAAAAATATTTTTTGCATAGTATAAATCCACTTTTTTTCCACGTCCTACACAATGTAAATCCCAGGCCCTGAAGATGATCTCAATAAAGATCGAAACGTTGGCACGTTACATCTCACCAGACCGCATCTCACGATTTCCGATTAATCGAATAACGGTCACTAATCACCACACATTAAAATTTAATCTTCTAATGTAACTCCTTGTAAAAAGCTTTTCTACTATTTCTCTCGCGTCGGGCATTTTACTAATGGAAATAACATTACGAGACTACCTCGAAATTTGGCGAAACGGGCAGTTATTCGAGCAAATTGACTCCGTGTCCTAAAGTTGAAAGCTCGGCTTTTCAGCCCTGAGTGCTTGCGGAATTTATTTACTAACGTGTTTTGAACTGAACAATTAACGATGGTGGAGGGATTGCAAAGTGGTGGTCCGCGGGACGGCCACCAACCCGCTCGACACCAATTGTCCCTCTGTCTTGCGCCCAACTTTTGTCTGTTTAACACTAAATTATCGTTGGAGAAAAAAAAATTATTTTACAAAGATGAGAGATAAAATGTTCAATCGGCAAATGGGACATTTAAAAACGGTTCATCGGGATTTGTCGTCGAATGACCGTGAGAAAATGTCGTTTTTTCGTATGATTATGATCATTCATCGTTAGTTCTCGAATAAAGTAGTCCAAGTTAAAATTTCGTTTAGCTTTTAGCTTTAATAAATTAATATCATTTGATTTACTTGTCACGTTCAAAATTGCATTTTTAATCACGTTCTCCTTCGGGTTTCAAGTCGGAAATCGGCGGACTTTTACCTTTTTCATCCTTGTGAAACGCAACTCCCTTACCGTTGTCAACAAGCAACAAGGGGGTAAAAAGCTAATTTATCTCATGTTTCGCCTTTTGTTGCACCTCATGTTCGAGCATTATCAGTCGATTTTCCCATTTGTCTAAACAAAAAACCAAAAAATACTAATTCTCTCTACGAGACCCCTATGTAAAGTAAAAACGTGTTGTAGCAGTTTAAAGCAAATGTTTCAATTTGTTGGAGGAAAAAACCAGTCCCGGTCGCGGTTATGGCTAGATGTAAAAAGTATTTATGGTTTGAACGCTCTTTTGAATTAATTCACGTACGTGTTTTCTTATATAGAGAAAGAATTGTTTGTATGTTTTATCTATGCTGCTTAAACCACCGGCTCATCGTAAACTCGAGACTTCGCGGGCCTTTAGGCCTTCCAGTAACTAGAAGCTGTCTTAAATTTCATCTTTTCATTTCGACTTGGTACGTCCTTCATAATATTTCGTCCGAGAGACAGAGTCGTGCGCGTGAGCTTTTATCCCCCTGGGCTTAGGACGTGTCCCACATCGGGTATTAAAGGATTTACGCTAAGGCGTAACTGTGAAAGCTAATAACACCCGTTAAAAATACGTAACCCCCCCCCCTGTGGACCGGGGCTAATTTAATTTAGCCCCGTATCAAGACGGACTCGGCAAATTTGAAACGAACAATGAAGGGTTTGACCTGGAGTTGTAGTAGTGCAAATCGCACACCCACAAGAAAAGTGACACAAATAAAAATTATAAAAACCGAATTATTTAGTGTTTTTTTAAGTATTCATGTGTGTGATGCTACAGGAAAAATGACACAACTGTAGGTGGACTCTTAGCTGCTAGGCAGCACTATGATCCTGAATCCTGAATTGACAGGAACGTACTGTCACCATTCACGAAAAGTGGCATATTTTAGTTCTCTGTCTTCGTTTAAAGCATCGGTTTATGAAATATCCGTAAGAGTGACATTTACACCACAGCGGGCAAAGTGATTCTAAATTGGTTGAAAAAGAAGAAACTGCCATCAAATTCCACCTCTTTGGCAATCACTTTGGGTCAAAGTATTACAGATAATGGATCTTCTTACAATGTGTAATGAGAACAAAAGTATGACCTATAATCCTGCTAGTTCTGGCTCTTCAGATTTCACTTACAGATCTGAGAAGCATGAATGCTCAGCTTCTAAGTTGCATGCCAAAAAGTTCCAGAAAATCAAAATATTGTAAATACTTTCCACAATTATATTTTATGCGAAAAAAGATAGGACTATCACCAGGTATGAGAATAGGGTAACCCTCATATGGATACCTGCTCATAAGGGGCACTATGGCAATGAGGAGGCGGACAGCCTAGCCAAAGAAGGTTCTAATACTGCGTTTGTTGGGCCACAACCGGTATTACCTCACTCTATGAGCACAGCAAAAGAGAGTATCAATAACTGGGGCATGAAACAATTCCTTAGGGAGTGGAATTTATCTCCTGGACACAGGCAATCGAAAGAGTTTGTTAAGGCGATCAAACCAGCTGAATCGAAATGGCTATTCTCTATCTCAAGGAAGGGAATTAGGAGACTGATAGGTATTCTGACGGGCCACTGCCCAATGAGAAGACACCTCTTCATAATCCTACCAGATCCCTTTTGCCGCTTCTGCGAAATAAAAGAAGAAACGGCAAAGCACTACCTCGCAGAATGTGATAGGTATGCTAGGTCTAGATTTGAAATCTTTGAAGGAGAGGACATCACCAAATCACTCCCCGAGATAAAATGGTCCAAAATCTTGGGGTTTGTGAACAAGTCCAAGAGGTTTATGCAACTGAGAGGACATCGCCTACAAATATTTTGAGCAGAATTCTTTTTATGAAGTTATCTTTACAATTTTCATGATTTTCCAATAAAAATGTTGTATGGATTTCGTTTGTGGGCTGAACTTCAATCTAGTATTATTTTTGTTATAGGATTCCGGCGGACTGGATGGCCGATGAGATCACATCGAATCCAGATCTCGCCAGGCTCCTCGTTCGCAGATTCATGGACGTCGACCAGGATGGGTTCGTGTCGCCCTTGGAGTTCTTGCGGCCCCCTTTGAAGCAGAGCTGCCAGCCAGAGCAGGACGATTCGGATTGATGGATAAACCTCAAAGCAGATGCCCTCCCCTTAAAACTGCAAACTTCATTTTAACCCCACTCCCAACCCTTAAAATAAATATAAAATTTATTTATTTCCACGATAGTTTTAAAAAATTGTTCTCTTCTATTTCTTCTCAGACACTCCGTAGAATAATTTGCATATTTTTGTTTTAGAATCAGATTTTTTTGTAAATAAATTACCCATGGCCTGTTTCCTTACTGGATTCTCCGGAAAGATTTTCGAAATAAAAATCAACGGATTAACCTCAACACCAAAGAGATAAAGAGTTAAATTAATGTAAATAAATTGTATTTTTCTTGAGAAAAAGAAAATAAAATTTGAATTTTAAGAATATACTAAAATAATATATGTATAGATCCCTTATTTAGTCGTTGTTAACAGATTATCTTTCTTTTTTGATGTCTGATGAAGAATTTTGTTGTTTTATTGTTTCATGTTTTATCTTTTTCGGAAATTTTGAATATGTTTGGTGTATGAATATTATGAAAACTACAAAAATTAAAATAAAGCATGCACATAAGTGTTTCTAATTCAATTTCTATTTCCTCCCAATTTCCGACATTTCATTTATAAACTAAAAGAGAAATAAGTAAGTATAAAGTATATGACAAGATAATTCAATTGTTTACTACTGACTGGAAATATCAGAAAAAGAGCTTCTATTGCTGTATCAAGATGATGTAACAGAAGACAAGTTTCTAGAGATAAATCTCCATTTTTAACTAAAGAAACTATTAACAAATATAAAAAGTCATGAAATTACGAGAACTGCAAGAGTCAAAATTGGGCAATTCACTCCTTTATGCCATTTTCCACTGTTATCGAGGTTTTATGTGTATTATATGTTCTATTCGTTTGGACTAGGCTGAATAAACAGTTCCTAACAAAAGAAACAAATGACAAATGAAAAATGTCCTGAAATGAGCAGATCCACTAAAACCAAAACTGGACGATTCGCCCCCTTTTGGTCATTTTCAAATTTTAACAATATTTTCTATATATATATATATATATATATATATGAGNCTAATAGTTTGGAATAAGCAGAATAAACAGTTTATCACAAAAGGAATGAATGACAAATGAAAATGTCATGAAATTAGCAGATCCGCTGAAAGCAAAACTGGGTGATTCGCCCCCTTTTGGTTATTTTCAAATTTTATCAATATTTTCTGTATATTATAAGTTCTAATAGTTTGGAGTAGGCTGAATAAACAGTTTATCACAAAAGAAACGAATGACAAAAGAAAAACGTCGTGAAATTGGGGGAACCGCAAGAGTCAAAATTGGGCAATTCACCCCTTTATGCCATTTCCTACTGTCATAAATATTTTATATGTGTTATATATACACATATGTGTGCACAGTAATTGCAAATTAACCTGTCCCAGTGAACTTAAAAATGTTATTGTCAAACTAAAAAATAATAAGTCCCCAAGTATAGATGGTGTAAGCCCTAAATTCATAAAAAACATTTCTAATAAAAGCTTAATACACTTTACCAAATTAATTACATATTAATGTATGGTTATTTCCCCAAAATTTGGAAATACAGTAAAATAATTGTATTACCTAAACCTGGTAAAGACTTGTCTCAGGTGAGCTACCGGCCCATCTCACTTCTTCCTTGTCTTGGCAAAATCACTGAACGCGTGATATTAAGAAGAATCAACCTGTTTATTGAAGAAAAGAACCTACTGGCGGCTGAACAGTTTGGGTTCAGGTCACATCACAGCACCACAACACAATTGGCGAGGGTCACAGATATTATTGAGCACAATTTTAATTTGAACAAGCACACTGGGATGGCACTGGTTGATGTTGAAAAAGACTGCGTGTGGGCTTCTCTTTAAGTTAATCAGTTATAACTTTCCCAAATACATCGTTTATTTAATAAGGAGTTATCTGGAAGATAGGAAATTTTGTGTCTCGCTTAACAACATAAGCACTGACTTTCGGCCAATTGCTGCTGGTGTACCCCAAGGCTCTGTCCTTGGGCCCACATTGTTCAATTTATTTATTAATGGTATAACCGAACTACAAGTTAAGCCAAAGTGTGCCCTATATGCTGATGACACCGCTTTTATGATCTCGCCTTTCAGGGTAGATACAATAGCTAGGCATCTCTCAGTAGCCCTTGAGAAAACATTTAATTACTTTTACAGGTGGCGAATCAGACCCAATGAGTCAAAAACAGAGGTGATTCTGTTCACTCGCAGAAGGCCTAATGTTGATTGTTTTGTGACAATAAATGGAAGGGGTATTCCATGGAAAAAAGAAGTGAAGTATCTCGGTTTGATGCTGGACTCAAAGCTCACGTTCACCAAGCACATCAACATGGTATGCGATAGAGGAGTGGCTCTATCTGCATATTTATTTCCGTTGTTAAATAGACACTCTGATCTGAGTATATTTAATAAAAAGTTAATTTATTATTTGTATATTCGACCCATGCTGTTGTATGCGGCTCTTGTCTGGTCTAATACATGTATCACCAACTACTGGAAGTTGCAGGTTGTGCAGAACAAATGCTTGAGACTGATTGGTTCCTTTTACAGGTGGACACCAATAGACTACATGCATTCAGTATTGGAGGTGACTAGTGTCTCTACACAAGTCCACAGTATAACATCAAGATTTTGCAAAGCTTGTGAACTTAGTGAATACACTAATATTAGAAATATTGTTAACTATGAAGCTGCCTCCTTGCAGACACTTTACAAAAAATATAAGTACAAAAGAGTGAAGCACATTTTGCTGTAAATTAACTATATAATGTAAAGGGTTTTTTATATTTTTTTCCCTCTGTAAATTAGTTCTTTTTTACTTCAGATCAGGTATATAGGCAGGAAGCCTGAAGCCAGTCTTTTAATTTCTTTGTAAATACTGTATATATTTTGTAAATAAAAATAAATTTCATTTCATTTCAATATGTGTTAATTCATTTAGATTAGGCTGAATAAACAGTTCCTAACAAAAAAAAACAAATGACAAATGAAAAATGTCCTGAAATGAGCAGATCTACTAAAACCAAAACTGGGTGGATCAACCCCTTTTGGTCATTTTCAAATGTTAGCAATATTTTCTATATATTATGTGTTCTATTCATTTGGACTAGGTTGAATAAACAATTCGTAATAAAAACGAATGAGCTGCTCTAACCACTTGATCAAATGTGACTTAGATCCGCCTGGACACCAACTCCTCATCTTAACCTAAAACCTTTTGTACTTTTCCCCCTTTGCCATATTTTCATTTGAATCCCACTTTTCCTTGTTTTTTCACCTCAACCAAGACCTTAGATTAAAAGTGAAATTCCCTAAAATAATGTAAATGGTCAATGAAGGCTGCTAAATGCATTATGCATCTATATAACATTGATATATTCAATGACGAAGAAGAAAAAAAAATGTAAAGGGATTGTATCAATGACAGTCAATTACCTAGTACGCCTAAAGAAAAGGATTAAATCGACAGTCTGAACAAAGGAACAAGGAATGTTCAATAAGCCAGAAGGCTGCAGTGCTTGGGGAACATCTATCTGTCTAGTCTCCTTTCATCATCAAGACAAAGGACACAGACATGACAAAAGAAAGGTCTTAGATAGGAAACAAATGTAATGGCATTTATCAATGTTAATCGTGAGCCTATTGGAGTGCACCCAATTGTAGGAAGCAGACAGTATAAAATCATTAGATGTTGAGTCCTCCTTAAAAATCTTAAGATTATCAGCCAAAAAAGAAACCCTACAAAATTTAATAGAATTGGCCATATCGTTGAAGAAGGTATTGAACAAAATCGATCTGGATCGCGAACCTTCCCGAATACCAGATCCAATATGAACCTCATAGGACAACAAACCATCAAAGCTCATACAAAAGGATCTTCCTATTAAAAAAGAAAGATGCCAACCACAGTGAGATACGCTCACAGATGCCACGGTCGTGGGTTCGATTCCCACCGTCGCCTCTGGCCCTTTTTTCACGATACCCCCCCCCCAAATATGAACACACATACAAGAATTCGTCACCATGGTTAATATACATAGATCATAAGGCCAAAAAAAAACCCAGAGTGATCTGTGAGCCATCAAAAATGGTCCACAGAGTCAAAAGCTTTCGATAAATTTTCATAGCCCATATCAAACGCAGTGAGTATAAAGTCCTTATAAATTATAGAAAATAGAATAAATTATATAGAATTTGACAAATCCATGCTAATTCAAAGAAAAAACATTCCTAAAGGATCTGACAAAACAGTAACAACAATCAAATCAATAACCTTATGGACTAAGACACTTGCCTATAATTATATAGAGATTTATAATTTTCATCTTAACCACACTACATAAAAATTATTAATAACTTTGGATAATTGCTCTTTGGTCAGCTAAGAATAAAGTAGTAATAAGATAATAATACATAAGCATTAGGAAAAGTACTTGTACCAAGGACAGTTAAAACAAGCAAGCAATACTTCATTAGGAAGAAAAAAAAACCTGTGATACCATCTGGTCTAGGACTAGAATTAAGTTTCAAAGAATTAAGAGCTTTAAAAACATAAAATCAATATTGTTTGAGTCAGCAGGGAAGTTGGAATCACAGCTGGGTTTAAAACTGTTGCAAAACAATTTAGAAAAGCTCCTGAGCATTAATAGACTAAAAAGTATTGACCATCATGGTGTAATATAAACGGAATGGCACTATTACTAGTGCTAGTAGCTTTGTTTACAGCCAGGACAGCTTTATCATATCCATGCACTTCAGTCCAAGGACCTGAACATTATTTTGTCGCCTCTGCTCTTTAATTTCCACATATCGAAGACAATTTAAATAGTAAGGCATCATGATTAGTCACAGAAGCTGAAGCTGATATATTTAACTGATAGATCCCTCAGTGAAAATCCAACTACATTTCAATGAGAATTGTAAGCATGGTACTGTAAATTGGAAGACTTTTTGAAAATCAATTAGATCTAGTCTCATCCTTGGTGTAGGAAGTTTTGAAAGCGAAATTGATATGAACAAAGTCTTTAGAAATGGTATAACACATAGATGTATCATTCGTGGTGTGTAAACTGCACCCTTTAAAAGCTGTTGCATCCCCGTTCTGTATGAGTCTGAATTGATCAAGGAACTTGATTAGTAGGCCTGGTTTCAGTGGTTGAATTTCTTCTATGGTTGTGTTGCCCAAAATACTTCCTCCTGTGGGCGAATGTACGGGACAGTTTGTTAGTAGCTGGGTTGGTAAAAGCAATGGTATGGTAGTAAGGATACTAGGAAGCGGGGTTTGAGCTCCCCAGGCACTGCAGCCTTCCGGCCTTCCTTTCAGTGCAATAGACTCAATCCTTCTTCTTAGAAGCATCAGGTCATTGACTGTCGCTTCTACAATTTCATTCCCTAGATTTTTTTTTTTTTTTAATCTCCATTGAGCTGTTGCTTCGCATTCAAAGATGATATGAGTGGCTGTTTCCTCCTCCTCATTACATAATCTGCAAATGGGATAATCGTTGTATGCCCAAGTTGTGTGGGTGTTTTCTCAGATGCCAGTGACCAGTTAGTGGTCCTACAACTTCTCTAAGTTTAGCCCCCTCCAATCGCAGCAGTGATTTTGCCAGTCTTGGTGAGTGTTATTTCATAAGTTTACAGTGTCTAGAATTTAACCACTTCTCATTTTGTTTTGTTTGGATCCATTCTGCGATGGAGGATTTTATATTTGTTTTTGTTATCTCAAGAATAGGTTCAGAGCCTTTGTATGGTCTTGCAGATCCTCCTCTGGCCAGTCTGTCTGCTTTCTCGTTACCCGAAATTCCTCTGTGTCCTGGCACCCAAGATGGTTGTTGTTTCCCCAGGTTTTGGAGATTTTGGATGCATTTGCTGACTCATTTTGATGTGATTTTTTTCCTAATGCTTTAATGGCTGCTTAGCTATTAGATCTCATGAGGATTTTTTTCCCAGTTTAACCTCTTTTAAGATTTTCCAGGGCACAAGCGTTGATGGCATGTATTTATGCTTGAAAGACAGAAGTTCTTCCCTAATGAGTTTGATTGCTCATGTTTTGGGCTTGTACAGAAAATTCCCAGTCTGGTTCTTTCATTTGTTTTGGAGCCATCTGTATACCATATCTGATGATCTCCTGTGTTCTTCCTTTCCTTTATAGTCTGTTGAGGCTTTATAGGATGTAAAGATGTTTCCGGGATCATATAGGATGAACTGTACTATACATTTATGCAGGACCTTGGTCCATGGAGAGGGGTATTAAAACTAAAGCTGGTCAGTATAGTTCTTTTTTCATTTGAACTAGGCTGTTCATGAACTACACATACATACAACTTAGTCTAGCCCTCATACGTCAACACCTAAATTTTTAGAGCAAAGTCACAATTACTTAGATGATATGCTGCAGCAATGGTTGTCCTGTTATATGTGTGTCATGTCATTATACTGTGCTTATCAATTTGATCATTCATCAGATAAATGTAGAGTTATACAGGGTACTGCATCTATATTAAACAACAGAATGTGTGGTTTTCAGCCATTTTTGTTTTTGGATTGCCTGAAATTTTGTATTACTTCTAGCCAAAACATAGGTTATTAATAGTTCAATAAGACAAAAATAACGAATATATTGCTTTTAAAAATTTAAAACAATAATGTTACAATCTAAATTTTGTATAGCGTTTTTAGAGGTTAACCGACCTTTTGACCTCGCCTGGAAACAAGTTTGGATTTTTTGACCCTGGCACTGCAAGTCGAACCCCGTTTCCACGTTAGCCAGGATGCGCTAGAATCGTCAGCAATGATTCACTCGACTTTCTATGACAGACTGTCAGTGATACTGTGATAGCGACAGTCAGAAATATTCTGTCTAAAACGGCCCGGGTGGGGAAAAAAATGGACCCGTGGAAAAAGGAAGATTCGAACAGCCACGCGGATCTACCTGGGGAAAAATTCGAGGACGATTTTGTCGAAAAACTAAATCTCCCGGACTCCGCCGACTACCTCGCAAGGCTAGGTATAATATAAAAAAATATATTTATTAAACATGATTAAAATTCAAACGAAAATAATGACAGAACAAAGAGGGTAAAGGTACTTTTTTGGTCTTGTTCTATTACATAACAGGTTGTTTTTCTGAATCTCGTTAGGTTATAAGGTCAGATTAGATCGTTCTGGTTTAAGGAAGAATATCCAGTTATATATTTATAAATAGGTCAAAAACCTTTTTTTCTAAAGTGTCAATGTTTTTGAACTTTATATTGTTTCTTTAGATTTGACTGAAATCGTGTTGGATTTTAATTTATTACTGTTTTTAGAAAGGAAGCTTGCGTCAGCGAAAAGCAAAGATAAAGGTCTCCTCGAGTCGCTTGAGAAGACGAGACAGGACTGCATCGTGAGGCTCCTCACGGAAGACGTCACTACATCGGAGCCGATTGCCGACGAGGACATCCCGACCAAGTGGCTCAAAAGCTATATCAACCCGCAACAGGCATTAACAGTTGGCGAACTCGTCGAGTTGGTCAAAGCCGACCATTTGGCCCAAGCGTCTGACGAAAGTCAAATTGAACGTAAGCCGGGTTATCTTTATTGACAGAGCTTATCTGGGTTTTATGGCTCGAATTGATATCGGTGTTAATATTTTATCTGTATTATAGAACAAGATGGGCAAGCTTAAAGGGAAAAAAGCGTTATGCGTCGTGACTGGCGGCAGTCAGGGCATCGGTCAATGCATCGCTGTTGAAATGTCGAAACTTTTTTCACCTGGGTCCAAAATTCTCCTCGTAGCAAGGTCGAAAGAAGGCATGGAAAAAACACGTCAGCAGATTTTAACCACAACAGAAGACATGTCTGTCAAGGTGAATTCCTTTATTCCTTAAGGCAGGCCCTAGGCGATCAATTTTATTTCACAGTATTTCTGATCATTTAGGGTTAGCATTGAAGTTTGTTCAATGATTGAATATTATTGTAGGTCTAGGGCCTGCCTGTCATTCAATACAATTTTTATATTCAATTCACTAGTTTCGTGGTCCGCTTAAATAATCAACATCTTACACTTATGTGTGGTGATTAGTGACCATTAATCGATATTTATTTAGAAATCGTGATATGCGGTCTGGTGTGATGTAGGTTTTAGAAAAACATTTTCTTTATCGTGCCAACGTTTCGATCTTTATTGAGATCATCTTCAGAGCCTGGGATTTACAAACATTGTTTACATTTAACAATTACATTTTGGATGTGGAAAAGTGAATTTATACAATGCAAAATATATTTTTTATATATTCAATCAAAGTATTTCTTTCTACTCACTCAAAGTGTTGTCTTCTGTGTAATTGTGCCATTCTTGCGTGTCGTGTCGAGAGTGCCAGTGAGATTTTGTCTCGACACGACATGCAAGAATGGCACAATTACACAGAAGACAAACACTTTGAGTGAGTAGAAATACGTTGATTGAATATATAAAAAATATATTTTGCTTTGTATAAATTCACTTTTCCACATCCAAAATGTAATTGTTATATGTAAACAATGTTTGTAAATCCCAGGCCCTGAAGATGATCTCAATAAAGAGCGAAACGTTGGCATGAAAAAGAAAATGTTTTTCTGAAACCTACATCACACCAGACCACATCTCACGATTTCTAAATAAATAACTTACAATTAATTAAGGTTTTCAATTGAGATAAAAAAAAGTCAATGGCATGAGCAGGATTCGAACCCATGATCTTCGGCTTGATACGCCGGTGCTCTACCACTTGAGCTATTGTGACCTCGATCCACTCGGACACCAACTTCCCATGTCAACCACACCTTTTTGAATTTTCCCTCCTTTTTGCCATTTTTCAAATGTCGTGTAATCTATTTGATTCTTGGCGACAAATGAGAGCTTTAGTGAAGGTATACTTCATTTTAAACTTTAAACTAAAATAAGTTTAAAATGAAGTATACCTTCACTAAAGCTCTTCGAGGCCATTTCATTTGTCGTCGAGAATCCAATCCGATTACACATTTGAAAACTGGCAAAAAGGAGGGAAAATTAAAAAAGTTGTGGTTGAGATGGGAAGTTGGTATCAAGCTGAAGATCATAGGTTCGAATCCCGCTCGTGCCATTGACTTTTTTATCTCAACTGAAAACCTTAACTATTTTTATAATAAAAGTATTTTTTATGTTAGAAACATAAGCTATCTCTTAACTGACTGGCCTGATACATTACCCATTCTATACTTAAAAATAAAAGGTATCTGTTTTAGAATTATCAGTTTGATCTGTGCAAGCCTGAATATGACAAATACAATGAGATGTTTCAAGAGAACAACGGTGATTACGAAGTCGCCATTCTGGTTCACAACGCCGGATCAGAAGGAAATGGCCGTTTTGCCGTAGACATGAACGACTTTGAAGAATGGCAGAAACATATGGCTTTGAACCTTTATTCTGTCACGATGATGACATCGGCGTTTCTGAAAGTCTATACTAACTTGAAGTCTAAGACAATTGTGAATATCACGTCTTTAGCTGCGGTTCAGCCTTTCAAGTCGATGGGTTACTACTGCGTGAATAAAGCTGCGAGGGAGATGTACTTCAGAGTTCTCGCAGAGGAAAACCCCGAGCTTGATATCTTCAGCTATTCTCCAGGTTGGTAGATTTTTGTTGTTTTAACAGGTTGCAATGTGACTTAAATTTTTTATTATATATATACTTTTTTTTTTTTTTTTTTTTTCTCAATAGGCCCAGTCGAGACGGATATGGTTACGAGGTTAGTGGACAAAGTATCGGATCCTGAAGTCAAGAGCATGTTTAAGACAATGAAGGACGAAAGCAAGCTCGTAAAAGCGCAGGATACTGTCAAGAAACTTCTTGACTGCTTGGAAACATCTGAGTATAAGTCAGGTGGAAGAAAAGATTATTTTGATAGATAATTGATGTAACAAAATGTTTAAAAAACTAAAAATGAAAATACCCTTCTTTTTTAAATAAAATATATTATTTTAAAATCAAATAAGTATCTCGTAATGTTTGAAATACCATACTGTGTAATAGACTGATGGGAAAAAACAAATATGTAAAAAAAATTAATAAAACACCAATACTAAAAAGAGTCCATCTTTTTGTTTGTCCTTCTTTATTCCATATTTGGTTTATTTCTATATTTTCTTAGGCCATCTTTTTTAAAAGGCAGGTGACCAAAAATGAGAACTGGATCCTTTCGTACTATTACACAGACCCTAGGCCTACAATAATATTGCACAATACTTTTATTGTGCAATATTATTGAATGACATCTTCATACCAATTTATCGGCCCATAAACGTATAATGTTTTCATGTGAGCAAGACCTAGTGTTGCAAGATGTCAGACCAAGATTTGGCTCCGTCTAAAAAATATTGCGCAATAAGAACCCTACACTGCAGTAAATATGGTACAACAAAAATTAAACTCGCTCAAACTTTTGTTAAATCATTGAGCAAACTTCAAAACTAATCCTAAATTGTCGCAAATATTGTGCAATATAATTGACCATCTGGGGCTCACCTTATATATTTTAATGATGATCATTATTTTGTGTGATGTTTAGTGACCGTTAGTTAACAATTATTGCATCGATCTTCAGAGATCTCCAAATAATGATAGTTATCTTTTAGCAAATTAAACTTCTTTATTCTTTCGTAATTCTATCTTAAAACGATAATCTTCTTTCTCAATTTCTTTACAGTGAAATTTCTGAAAATTAAAAAAAAGTTTATAAAATAAATGTAACAAAAAAAAGGCCATAATGTATATTAAAAAAAAAAAAATTTCGTTTAATTAAAAGAATTATTAAATAATATTACATTATATAATACAGGAAAATTAAAAATGTTGATCGCATTTCGGGCGATCATGTCTGGTTCCTCTCATCACCACGGATCGCTCTATACTTGGACAACTCATTTGGGAAAACGTTATTCAGCTCGACTAACAGGTACGACTTGAAACGCCTGTAAGCGTCGATTTTCCCCTTGACCTGCTCGTTCTTCGTCAGTGCCTTTTCAATGCAGTCTTTCGTGTAGATTTGTGGGTTGCGGCCGTTGTCGATGTAGCTGTCAAGAAGATTAATTAATGTATTGTATTAATTAATAAAAAAATAAAAAACTTACTCAAAGACTTCAAGAGGTACGAGTACATCCTGTACCTGTGACTTAAGTCTATCAACTTCTTGTAATCCATTTACCATTGATTGTCTGAAAAAAAAGGAGAAGTTAATAAAAATAGGAAAAAATTAAATAATTTATTGAAGAAAGCACAGTTTTTAAGGAAAAGAAAAAAGCCTTGACAATCGGTTAAAAACTCCAAGCATACTTCGTATATTTTCTTGTTTTACACAAGTTCCCTGAAATGTGTTAATGTTTCACGATAGTAGGTGTGACGATCTTCATCAATCATAACCGAATGTGTCTTCTAGTAAACTGAATGCTTCCGGACACTCAAGTCTTTTATTCATTTAATATCCTAACATTTTGCTCTATTAATTTACACGACTAACTTAATAACAGTGTGTTCAGTAAGTAAAACATGGTTTGTAAAAAATGGCTTACTGTGTTTTAAGGTTTCAGAAGGAACGTCGAAGCCATCATCAATAATCCCTAGCAATTTGCACCGATCGTGAGACAATTTTTTTACTGACATGGTGAAAAGCCATCAGATGCCTTGTCTTAATCAAAGTCTCACGCTGTTATCCCAAACCTGACTAGATTCATTTAAAATGCCTCCCTGTCTCATAAAGTTTACACAAGGTATAATAAAAGCACCCAACATCATCGGCACCAACAGGCTTTCATTTACCTTATTACACTGAAACACATTGAAGATAAGTAGCGACGAGTGTGTATGTATAAAAGGACATGCTTATTTTTTCAGCCATGTTGACTTCAAAATCATTGTCTGCTGAAGCATACATTACAGAGAGAAAAAGAGTTTTTATGTGCTCCAGTATAAGTTTGAAAGAAAGGTTTAATATGTGAAAATAATTTTATCTCCCTTGACTTCATGTCTCATCCTTTTGTTGATTCCAAATCTGACTTTTGATATAACTGATTATCTTCAGTGTCTCCCTGTCTCATAAAGTTTACAAGAAGCATTGTAAGAACATCCATCATCATCTGCACTGACATTCTTACTCATTACACTGTGAAGCACATAATTAAGTACAACTCAATAAAGAAGAATTACTATGAGTGTGTATGATGTAAAATGTCATGCTTTTGGCAGCATTTTTTTTTTTTTTTTTCATAGGGCGTCAGTGGCCGCATTGGTTTAGGCTTTGACAAGGCATTCATTCCTGTAATGTGAAGGTCATGGGTTCAAATCTAGAGGCCCTGCATTCAAACCCAATGCAGGGCAAACCCAACAAATGGGATTTTTTTTTCAAACCCCACGGGTTTGAAAAAAAATTGCCTCGTTGTTGTAATTCCCCCATAAAAAAAATAAATGAATAACAAAATTCAACCGTGTTGACTTCAAAGTCAAGGAAGACATTTTATTTATTTTGTATATAATTAAAAATTTGAGTGACAGTGGCAGGGCCACTTTAACTACAACCAGGAAGTCTTTAGATTAGGGCGTTCGTTAGTATTAGCCCTTCAATTTTAATAGCCTTATAAGTTCTGAAAATGAAATGGTATTTAAGACGTTGTTTGAATTTTTGAATAAAAATGATCTGAAGGTTTAATCGCCAGATAATTAGTCAATTGATTAATGCAATATCTGTCCAATTATAATTTATTAAAGATTTACATTGTTACTTATGTAGTAGAATTTATATATTTATATTAGTAATTTATTAATTATATATTAACTGATTGATTATTTATTATCGATGTAAATACTGATTTATTTATTGACTAGTTATATAGAAATTTGTTCACTGATACTGATACATTTTATCGATTATTTATAATTATATATTTACCAATTGATTATTTATTACCGATGTAAATATTGTTTTATTTATTTATTTATAGACTATTTATATTGAAAGTTGTTTGCTGATATTGGTACATTTGTATAGATTATTAATAACTATTTATTTATCAGTTGGTTGACTGACAGGTGAGGAACCTGGGTCATTCTGGGGGTGCTGTGTCGGCTATCTCGGGTTGTCTCCGGGGGGTACTCCACATGCAAAGGGCAATTGGTCCCCGGGAAGTGGGGAGGATGTGGACTTTTCCAGGGGCCTCTGTTGCCATGTACGGTTTTTATCCACATCCTCCTAATGCTACCGAAATTAGATGTAAACCTGAATGAGAAGCGGGTGTATGGGGTAGTGCCCTTTGGGGGTGGCCCAGGTCGGTTGGCGTTGTCACCAATTAATTGACATTGACTGGATGTCTGTAGGGCAAAGTCGTAAAAAAAAGTCTTTAGATTGTTTAAATTGTTGTAAATAGTTAAACCCAAGTTTTTGAGAAGTAGGAAACAAACCCACTAATTTAGCCATGAGGATTCACAAAATTTTGAGGGCCCAAGTAAGTTAATAAATAAATAAAAAGATTATGTACATTTACGGACCAGAAATTATAGGAATCGACTCCACATTAGCACTTAATGGACTAACACAAATGTCATAAAAATCACAGCTCAGTCTCGAAGTATGTTCTTTACATGCCGATGCTTCATATATATTATGCAGGGTGGGCGACCAAGACCCGAGGGGTTAAATGCCTGGGTAGACTCGTACCCCATCCCTAAAAGGTCCGGGACTTGGTCGGCTCAAGTAACCTCCATAAACCTCTTGGACTTGTTCACAAACCCCAAGATTTTGGACCATTTAATCTCTGGGAGTGATTTGGTGATGTCCTCTCCTTCAAAAGTCTCGAATCTAGACCTAGCTACCTATTGCACTCTGCGAGGTAGTGCCGTGCTGTTTCTTCTTTTATTTCACAAAAACGGCAAATGGGGTCTGGTAGAATACCCATTTCTAAGCGGTGTTTTCGAAGTTGGCAATCACCCGTCAGAATACCTGTCAGCCTCCTAATTCCCTTCCTTGAGATAGAGAATAGCCATTTTGATTCTATTGGTTTGATTTTAACAAACTCCTTTGATTACCTGTGTCCGGGGGACAGATTCCATTCCCTTAGGAATTGTTGCAAACCCCAGTTTTTGATACTCTCTTTCGCTGTGCTCATAGAGTAAGGTAATACCAGTTGTGGCCCGCAAAACCCTTCTTTGGCCAGGCTATCCGCCTTTTCATTGCCACAGTGTCCTTTATGTGCTGGTATCCAAATAAAGGTTACCCTATTCTCTATTGATAAGATCTACAGTTTCGTCCACCAGTCTAAATGTTGACAAATCTTTTTGTAATGATCTAAGACTGGCCTGACTGTCGGAAAAAATTCTAATATCTTTTCCCTTGATTTTATTTTCCATAAGTGTTCTACAACACACATTGATGGCCCAGATTTCTGCCTGAAAAACGGAGGTGTTATTGCCAAGAGGAGACACTGATACCTAATTTAGGTATATGGATCCAGCACCGCTTCCTTTACCTTTGATAAGTGAACCATCTGTATAGCAGTCTATGTTACAATGGTTGTATTCACAAGGAGTAACTACCTGAAAGTGCTTTTTCCCCAAGGGGGTTTTAACCTTTTTATCGCTAACGCTTAACAGTTGGCCGTTAACCTTACTCAATTTTGATTTTCAAGTGACCGATGTTATTACCCTTATGGTTCCAGCTGCCGCCGATGCTTCATGCTTTCACCGGCTTCAATTTCTCTGCATAGGGCATTCCTGCTTGCAGCATATATACAGAAGAAGCGTAGTGTTCTTGACTTCATGGTCTTTATTTTGCTCAACTCGTGGAGGCGCTCAATCCTGGTTCATCTTGGGCGGGGTGACAAACGTCAAAAACGTATTTTGCATCATTTGTAACATGTTGAGGTTTTTCCGGGAAGTGATGCTCCAAGCAGGGCATACTTACAGAAGGGCTTAACAATGCTGCTATAGAGCTTTTTGTTAAAAGCACTCGTCATCCTCCGTGATAGCAGAGGAAACAGCAGCCTGATAGCAGTTTCTCCCCTGACTATTCTCTCTGCCGCATAACTGGTGAATGTCAGGCTGCTATCCATTGTTAAGCCCAGACATTTTACATAGCCTGACCAGGCTTTTTCTTGTTGCAGGTCTTCTTTCGGTGAAGAAGATGGCTTCTGTTTTGAACAATTGTCAAGGAAAACTTAAGCATACATTTTACAGGGGAAAATGTTTATTTGTCCCCAGCACAGGTTTTTAATTCACAACTGATGATGTTGGGAAAAAGCCAAATCTCTACGATAACGACGTTGAATTTAATTGTATACTTACATTTTCTGGTTCAGTACGTTCTGCCCCTGGGGTTGAAAGTCGCTCACAATTATTTTGATCTGCCTCACGTTCTCTATGAACATTTCCAGCTGGGTTTCCAGGTTTTCCAGTGAGCTGGTCATTTTCTCCAGATTGACGAAAGGAGAACGAAACAACAAAATACAGAAAAACTAAGTGAAAGTTTAAAACTGAACCTAGTGTCTAGTGACCAGTTGTGATAACCTCAGGACTGCGAAATTGCGACTGTAGCTACCTAGGTGGAGCTGCCGAGCTAAACATTCCTCATTAAATTTAACCAAATTGAATTTAACACCAATTAGAACTATTATTAACAATAAAAAAATATTGTAATAAAATATAATCTAGTTTAATGTATGGGAATAGTACTTAAAAGTACCCAAAATAAAAATAAAAAATCTGGATAATCAAATTTCGACTACTGCAGTAGTGTACTCTATTTTGATCAGCAAGCTACTGATAAACTTCAGCTGTATAACAGCAATGATAAAACTTGAACATTGTTTTATTTTTGTTTACAGCATTATATAAATAAAAATATACTTCCTAGAAAAAAAAATTGTGTCATGATCGTGCTGTCCTAAATATAGAATTAAAAGGAAATCAGCTGGATAGTTCAGCTAAAAAAAAAAAATCAGTAACTTTTTAATTTTGAATCTTGTGGATATGACATTGTAAAATATGTCTATACCCGGTCACGTCCTCATCGGTGAGTAATTGACATTAGATATAATGATTTATTTGATTTTTGTGTTATTTTTAAGGAGGGGGCAGTGGGTTTATCGGTTCAGCACTGCGCCATGTACTCAAGAGCAAAGGCTACGATATCACCGTTATTTCCAGAATGCCCGGACCAAGAAGGGTGACATGGGTAAGTGTTTAATTTAAAAGCATTCGTCCATGTTTGACCATTTAAAACTTTTCAGTTTGATATTTGTAATTCTGGGCTTCCTTCCGGTGTGACCGTAGTTGTGAACCTCGCCGGGCAGAACGTCCTCGACCCGACTCAGCGTTGGACCCCGGGGTATTGTAAGACGGTATTAACAGTATTTTGTTCGTATGTAATGTGATGTTACTTCAGGTTCAAACAGAATGTTTGGAACAGTCGTATCAATACAAACTTAACATTGGCGCAAGCTATAAACAAGGCTGAAGTCAAGCCGAAAGTTTTTGCCAAGATTTCTGGTGTAGGTAAGTACACGTATCTAAGTAGTTTATAAATGAAAACAGACAAATTTTTCCTCTAAGGGATTTACAAGCCTGATCAGGAGTTGATTTATGATGAAACTTCGTCGGTAGGCCCTAGTTTTGACTTTTTAAGCAAGCTCGCCGTCGAGTGGGAAAAAGCTGGTGAATTATCACCCGATTTGGGTGTGCGAAGTGTCACAATACGCTCAGGTAGTTTCACTGTTGTTTTTGCAATTAAGAAATTTTAGTTTTTTTTTTGTTTTTTTAGGCGTTGTCCTAGGGAGGCATGGTGGCATGATAAAGCAGCTTCTCCTACCTTTTTTCTTCTGCCTGGGTGGTCCAATCGGATCTGGCAAACAGCCAATGCCTTGGATTCACATAAAAGATCTTTGTAACATGTTCGTTTTTGCCATTGAGAACGATGAAGTTAGCGGTGTACTCAACGGCGTAGCACCTCAGGTACTTTAACCACCCTTTGACCTTGTAAAAGTATAATTATTCAGAAATCGTGAGATGCGGTCTGGTGTGATGTAGTTTTCAGAAAAACATTTTCTTTATCGTGCTAACGTTTTGACCTTTATTGAGATCATCTTCAGTGCTCAAAGTGTTTGTCTTCTGTGTAATTATGCCATTCTTGCGTGTCGTGTTGAGAGTGCCTGTTCGCCAGTAGCCAAATTCAAAATGACGCCGATGAACACCGCCGGAGAGAGGAGTTGAAGTTAATAACAAGATTGTTTCAGCACCAACGGGAATGGAGGATTCCCGATTGAATAAGGGATGTTAGTTTAGGAATGGTTAGATGAAGGAATAAATAATGAACGAAGGGAGTAATTGACTCACTGTTTAATGAAATTTCCATGGCTTACAAGATGGCCGATGATGTGTTGGAGATGTGAAGGCGATGACGGTCTAAAGGCGATGAAGACCGGAACGCGGTGAATGTCTCCTGAATGCGATATCGTGCGTTGTTCAGCGGTGATTATGCCGGTATACCGACCTGGTTCCTGCAGCGTCGTTGATGATGATGATGATGGATGATGCAATCCAGTGGCGATGAAAATGAGACGAGGCAGTCCAGTGAGATGATGGAGTCTTCGGGGGATAATGAAAGGATGATTAATTCGCAGGATTATAATGATGATAGATGCAAGAAGATGATATATTAAGGGAACATGGCGATGATAGGTTTGTAGACCATGCGGTCGTGAGATGGGACGCACGCAGAGGTGAAGATCGTATGGATTCGCTTGGCGAGGAAAACTTTAAGAAGCGGCGATCTTACACGGAGGTGAATTACTTTGACGCAAAATTTTAGGAAGATTGGGCGATAGAAGGTGTGCTCGCTCTGAGAGCTGGCGGAGAAGAGAGCCCGAGAGGGCTGGAAGGGATGGATTTTTGAGGGAAAAGGAGGGAAGTGTATTACGATTGGTGGATTTCCAGAAGATAAAGGTTGTAGATAGAGGGGTACAAAGTCGCAAATCTTCCATTCCCGTTGGTGCCAAAACAATCTTCTTATTAACTTCAACTCCTCTCTCCGGCGGTGTTCGTCGGCGCCATTTTGAATTTGGCTACTGGCGAACAGGCACTCTCAACATGACACGCAAGAATGGCACAATTACACAGCCCTGAAGATGATCTCAATAAAGGTCGAAACATTGGCACGATAAAGAAAATGTTTTTCTGAAACCTACATCACACCAGACCGCATCTCACGATTTCTGAATAATTATCAATTAACAGTCATTAATCACCACACACTTGTAAATTTTTTTTTTTCTTGATTACCCTAGGTTGTAACGAACGAGGATTTCACGCATGCCATGTCGAAAGCGTTGCAAAGACCAGCGGTCTTCCGCGTGCCCGAGGCCGTCCTGAATTTCCTGTTCAGTGCTGAAAGGGCCAAGATCATGACAAGCGGTCAAAAGGTCAGCCCAAAGAGAGTGCAGAAGTTTGGCTTCACTTATGAATACCCTAACATCAACGACGCCGTCCAATCTGTCACACGATTGCTGCATAATAAAAAAGAACCTTTTTAATATTAAAAAAAACTCAATGTAAATACCATGTATATTAGCTATTAATTGTACTATAAACAAAGTATTTATTGAAGTGTAGTTCATTCTAATTGTATAGTGATGTTATAATTGTAGAAAACTGATTTTATTGTTATAATAACTTAATAAAAACTAAATAAAAACTTTAGATTTTACAAGAATAGGCTTGAAACCCTCGGCACTCATCACTGTAAGATAAAGGTCCAGGTTTGAATGCAGTACAACCCAACATTAAAATAGGATTTTTTTTCACCATTCTAACCAATCAGCTAACACAGTCCCTGAGAATAAATGTACTTTTTTTTTAAATTATATATTTACATCTAGACAAGATTTCTAAATCAAATTTTTTTTAATGAGCCAAAGTGTTATATATTTAAAAATAATAATAATTGGGACATTTTTTGAACTTAATGGAGTTTTGGCTGACGGGGCTTAGAGGTTGGTATGGGCGGCGGTGTGGCAGGACGGGAAGCGGTCTGCTGCGGTGTGGCAGGGCGGGAAGCGGCCTGGCGCGATGATTCTTCAACCTGCTTGATGAGCGCTTTCGTCCGGACGAGGAGGTCTGTCCTCCTGCGCACCGTTTCCTCGTGGTGCTCGACTATCTCCTGCAGCGCACTTTTGAGCGCTTGCACCAGGTCTTTTTTCTTCGCGGTGTCTGCAAGCCATTGTGCCTTTCCTTGTCCCTGGCTCGCCCGACGGCACACTGTCCACGACATCCTATGCATCCCAACTTGATCAATTTAAATTTTAACTTGTACACCTATTGTTTCATTGGTCACATGTTTTATACTTTTTTTTATTTAATCTATTTGTTTTCATTTGTTAAATACTGTGATATGTATGTTGTAAAATTTAAAGCCATCGAAAAATTCCATGAATCAATAAAATAAAATACCTTGGTGTTCTGCTAGAAACTTAATTTTACAGCGCATATTTAGCAAATTGATAAGTAAAGCTAAACTAGCAATCAAAACTCTCTTTCCCCTTTTCAATAAGGAATCAAAATTAAGTGTAAATAATAATCTACCTCTACAAAACATAGTCAGACCAATGCTTCTCTTTGCATACTTTAAAAAGGTACAGAGTAATCAAAATAAATTTGTGTCTTCACGATACACAAAACTTTTTGACCTCTACATGACAATAAAATAATCCAAAGGATGTGTAAACTGGAAACTCAGAAGTATGAAACACCTAATTAAAACTGTTAATATCTCCATAACATTTTTCACAACGTCCTCATTCTAGCAATTAACAATCAAATGTACATATATAAGTAATTTATGTATATATTTATTGTGTGCAATAGATACAAATTCTATATTCAATACCAAATTTATTTATTTAGTGTATAATATATTAGATTGAGAAATAATTCAGAGCTTTGTGGTTTTTTGCACAATGATTTTTCCCACAAACTACAATTAATTTTCGATTTTTGGGGTTTTTTGCGTTTTTCTTGGGGAAAAAAAACGTGTGCTACGAGCCTTTTACATTGATAAAGACAATAATTTTTTTTTTTTNTTTTACATCGAAAAAGACAATAAAAAAATTTTCGATTTTGTTGGGGTTTTCTGTTTTTCTTGAAAAAACGTAAAAAACGTGTCCTACGAGCCTTTTATATTGAGAAAGACAATACAAAGAATATGTGCCGATATCTGTATGATTACTTCCCGCATAGTCGGCACGTTTCTGTTTCTGCTTAGCCCATCTTAATTACCATCTGAAGAAGTCGGGCAAAGCAGATATATTATATATAATATATATGTATTAACGAGAAAGAAGACAAATTATCTGGACAAATCTGTCCTAAATAGAAACCACCCTATAATTAACTTGTAACTATTAATTATTAGAGAAAATTAAATTTTCCCTAATAATTACAAATGAACAAATTGGGTGAAACTATTCAATATTGACGTTTAAAAATCATAATAATTTATGTCGTTAAGTATTACTTATTTGATTTGTTTTAAAGGAAATCAAATCAGACTATTTTTGGTTTGTTCTGATTTTCAAGTTCTCCTGTGGCATTTATTCAACAAATTAACATCAGATTGTTCCAATTTTTAATTAGAATTACACGATGTTTATTTAGTCCTGTAACATTTTCCGATTTTTTATCGACTCCGACTTTTCTTCCTGGGACTTATTTTATGCTTAACGGTACGTTGTTGACGTTTTTGCCTGTATCAAAGTCCATGGGGATTAAATATTATCTACAGGAGTGAAAGGTGAGAATTAAAACTTACACAGGCTTTCACTACCTGAGCCAGGTTTGGAAAAAATAAAGATTAACTTTATCTAAGGCCTAAATGAGAATTTTATTTTCAACATAAAAACAACCCTAAAAAGAAAAATCCTATTGATTCAACTTTTTCTAGGTTTATCTCTTACACAGTTATCTATGGCCTAAATGAGAAATTTATTTTCAACATAAAAAAAACCCTAAATGTAAAAATCCTATTGATTTAGCTTTTTCTAGGTTTATCTGTTACACAATTATGCAAATTTGTTTTGAAAAACTAAGATGTATAGTGTGTAGTGAAGAAACGAAAAAAAATTGATTGCATTAAATTTTCTTCAGTACATTATGAAGGTTTGACTGTGTTAAAGCTGCTTCTTCTTTATATAACATATGTATATGATAGTAATGGAAGTTATTTCGATTAAATACATTTTGGCGGTTATATTGTAGATTGTTTTTACTGAAGATCAAAAACCTGCATTATTTTTTCAACAGCCCAATATTTAAGGTTGAATGAAACGTCTTTTTTATATTTACTCCCCCTTGTTGTTACCCCCTTGATTAGAAAACATAAGACAAAAAAACGAGTCCTACGAGCCTTTTATATCGAAAAAGACAGAAATTTTTTTTTCGATTTTTTGCGTTTTTCATGAAAAATATGTAAAATACGTGTCCTACGAGCCTTTTACATCGAAAAAGGCAATACATTTTTTTTTATTTTTTGGGTTTTTTTGCGTTAAAAAACGTGCTCTACGAGCCTTTTACATCTAAAAATACAATTATTTTTTTTCGATTTTTTGGGGTTTTTTTTTGCACGTTTCTTTAAAAAAAAACTTGTCCTACGAGCCTTTTACATCGAAAAAGACAAATTTTTTTCGATTTTTTTTGCGTTTTTCTTGTAAAAGCGTAAAAAAACTTGTTCAACGAACCTTTTACAACGGAAAAGACAATAAATTTTTTCTCAATTTTTTGGGGTTTTTTGCGTTAAAAAACGTGCTCTACGAGCCTTTTACATCTAAAAATACAATAATTTTTTTGGTTTTTTTTTTTGCACGTTTCTTTAAAAAAAAAAACGTNAAAACGTGTCCTACGAGCCTTTTACATCGAAAAAGGCAATACATTTTTTTTTGAAAAATGAACGTAAAAAACGTGTCCTACGAGCCTTTTACATCGATAAAGACAATAAAATTTTTTCGATTTTTTATTTTTTTTGCGTTTTCCTTGAAAAATACGTAAAAAACGTGCCTTGAACCTTTTCCATCGAAAAAGACAATATACATAAAAGACAATAAAAAACTTGTCCTATGAACCTTTTACATTGAAAATGACAATACAAATTTTGTTTTATGGGTGATGATTATTATTCAGAAATCGTGAGATGCGGTCTGGTGTGATGTAGGTTTCATAAAAACATTTTCTTTATCGTGCCAACGTTTCGATCTTTATCGAGATCATCTTCAGGGCTCAAAGTGTGTCTTCTGTGTAATTGTGCCATTCTTGCGTGTCATGTTGAGAGTGCCCCGGCACTTTCTGAATAACTTTTGTTTTATTTGGATCCATTCTGCGATGGAGGATTCTGTATTCTGTACCTGAAGTATGGGTTCCTCCTCTGGTCAGTGTGCTTTTTCGTTACCCAAAATTCTTTTGTGCCCAAGATATCACCACGTTTTGGATGCATTCACTGACTAATTTTGATGTGATTTTTTTTAGCTGCTTGGTTATCCCTTCCCTAATGAGTTTGTCTGCTCAGATTTTGGGCTTGTTCAAAAAAACACCCGATCCCGTTTCGGGGTTTTCTCATTCACGACCAAGCCGTCGATCCGTTTGTACTGTTGGGAGAGATCTTGAATGGCCACTTTTATGTGAACAAAGGATATGACTGTCCATTATTTGGTATGCGTATGGTATGCCAGTATACGCATAGATGACCCCCAGGTCCCTTTAGCCTTCGTTCTTCACGAATTCTATTCTATATTCTAGAAATAATCAAATTAACCCGATTTTCTATTATTTTGCGCCGATCAAGGACCGGAGGTCAAGGACCGACGAGGGGTTGGTGCAGGTAAGTACGTCTAGAAAGGGGGCGAAAGTGAGAATGGTATAAAAACCCCGGGAAAGGGCTTAGAGGGACTTATTTGCTGCTTTACTCTCGCAGAGTGGACGTCTGGTCTGATTATGACATTCGATGCCGAACTGACTCCGTTTATCGTTGATATTTCCTGTTCTTTCTTCGGGCTCATCTTACTCCTGTTCGCCTATTACCAACTGAAGACTACTTGCTGGCAAAAGTAAGTTGTGTGTTTTTTAAAAATATTTTTTATCTAATGCAAATTCGTTCTCTTCTAGAAAAAGTTCAGTAAAATTATTTGGTGTTGTGTTAATTATCAAAATGTTCCCTTTAAACTTCTATAATTATCTCAATAAATTAATATCAGCCTTCAATATTACAAATTTATATTTAAAATCGAGGATAAGACCAATTAAAAAAAAAAACTTAGATCCTCTGCCAAGCTTTCTAGTCATATCATCTCTTCATCTGGACTTAGAAACAATTATTAAGCATTGTTGTTTTGTTATTTTGCATTTATTGCATTGTATTAACTTATTGTTTCAAGAATAATGACTTTAAAAATTGATTTTACAGCACAGGTCAAACATATTTATGAAATAGAATGAACATTTAATCTTGTAATAGTATGCATATTAATAGTTTCAAAAGCTTGGTGAAGAGAATGTATTTCACAAAAGTTTGATGAAGTGACTGATTTTTTAACATAAGAGTAGCTGGGAATGGTAAAGGATGCCTGGGTATGAGAAAGTAATGGGTGGTTAGTTGTGGTTTAGAATGGTTAGAGATGGTCAAGTGAGGTTGGAGATAGTTAAGGATGAGTAGATATGATTAAGGGTGGGTAGAGATGGTCAAGTGAGGTTAGAGATGGTTAAGGAAAGTTAGAGGTGGTTAGAGCTAGTTAAAGGTGAGTAGAGATGGTTAAGGGAAGTTGGAGGTGGTTAGAGCTAGTTAAAGGTGAGGAGAGATGGTCAAGTGAGGTTAGAGATGGTTAAGGGAAGTTGGAGGTGGTTAGAGCTAGTTAAAGGTGAGTAGAGATGGTCAAGTGAGGTTAGAGATGGTTAAGGGAAGTTAGAGGTGGTTAGAGCTAGTTAAGGGTGAGTAGAGCTAGTTAAAGGTGAGGAGAGATGGTCAAGTGAGGTTAGAGATGGTTAAGGGAAGTTAGAGGTGGTTAGAGCTAGTTAAGGGTGAGTAGAGATGGTTAAAGGTGAGGAGAGATGGTCAAGTGAGGTTAGAGATGGTTAAGGGAAGTTAGAGGTGGTTAGAGCTAGTTAAGGGTGAGTAGAGATGGTTAAAGGTGAGGAGAGATGGTCAAGTGAGGTTAGAGATGGTTAAGGGAAGTTAGAGGTGGTTAGAGCTAGTTAAGGGTGAGTAGAGATGGTTAAAGGTGATTACAGTTGGTTAGAGTTGGTTAAGTGAGGTTGGAGGTAGTTAAGGATGAGTAGATATGATTAAGGGTGAATAGAGATGGTCAAGTGAGGTTAGAGATGGTTAAGGGAAGTTAGAGATAGTTAGAGCTAGTTAAGGGATGGTTAAGTGAGGCTGGATATAGATGAGGATGAGTGGATATGATTAAGGGTGGGAAGAGATGGTGAAGTGAGGTTAGAGATGGTTAAGGGAAGTAAGAGTTGGTTGGAGCCCGTTTGGTTTCTTTCATATGAGGCAGTTAATTGATTCAACTCGCTGAATAAACGGGACAAATAGTGTAAACTAATTAGTAACTAATAATTGGGTTACCGCCCTAACCTTCAAATAATTATAATATATTAATTATTAATCTATGTCATGATAGGACAAGCGGTTAGAGCAGCGGCATATTGAGCCAAAGGTCGTGGGTTCGAATCCCGCTCGTGACATTTACTTTTCATCTCAGTCAACACCTTCAAAAATAGAATATGCAATTAAAACTTATATAAAATGTAATTATTACAAGATATAAATTGTATATCTTATTATAATTATTAATTATATAATTAATATATTATAATAATTTACATCATAAAGATCTACCAATGAAGAGCAAAAAGCGAAATCATGCCCGACAGACCAAGCTACAGGTTCCCTTTAGATGCCAGGAGAAAATCTATCAATTTTATTTATTATCCTTGTGTAAAATTAAAATGCTGAAATACCAAGTGTTTTAAATTTAAATTTCAAATTGTTATTAACTATGTTAAATTTTAATCATTTGCTGATTGTTGAAAGGGTCATCGTAGTCAATAAATGATTGATTTTTTTGGAAAGAAAAATATATTTAAACTGAGAAGGCTGATCAATCACCAAAGAAAATGTTGATAATAGAGGAAATTCTCACATAAATGTGTACTAATGTGATTTTTATTTACATTAAATAACATTTTTTGTGTTTGGCTTGTTTATAATTTAATTAAATCGGTATATTAGGAGTAAAGATGTTATCTGATTTTCAAGTTCTTCTGTTGTCTTATTTTTTCGCCAGCCCTTTTATCCCCTTAATTTATTTATTCAGCAAATTAAGACCAAACTATTTCAAATTTTTTTCTTCAAATTATTTACTTCAAACAATTTCCAATTACTAACAAAGACTAAAAATTTCAATATTAAAGATAGGTGTTCATTTATACATTTTATACATTATACTTATTTATATTTGTAATTTTTTGCAGAAAAATGAACAAGAATAAAGACTCACCGCCTACAGACGAAAACGACTCAAACACGACACCCGTCAGCGCGCTGAGACCGTGCACGAACTTCAAACGTTCCTCTATAAGACGTAGTTGCCGAAGACGTCCTGCCGACGAAGACGACACGAGTATAAAAGCCAGAAAGAAACTGTTCAAATTCGACAGTAAACCAGCTGATGAACCGGTCAAGAAGGTCGTCGAAAAAGCCAAAGTGTCCATCCCCGAAGAAGTCATCGCCGTGCCGCTTGACAAGGTGAAAACCGTCGAACAAGTCATACGTCAACGAAGGCTGAGAATCTAAAAGCAATCTGTATATATGTATTATTTAATGTTTATTTTATTAATGGGTCGTGCAATATACTTTTTACACAACTAATTTTTTTTTTAAGTTTGCGGCCACCCACGCCTCCCAAAAATTTATATTTAATATATTTTCACTTCCTGTTTAAGAATAAAAAACAAGATTTATTATTACATAAAAATATGTTGATTTACAAATACATTATGCTATCCATATCAAGGAAAAACATAAAATTCCTAAGAGAAATAATGTTTAAAAACCTTTATTTATTCTAAATTACATATTTTTGCTTACAATTTTACAACAATACGTTTACAATTGTTTAACATTAATAAGAGTACGATTAAAATAAATAGAAAAAAAAATTAATTATTGGCACTATTAACAAATTGTGCTATTAAAGTGAGAACATTGTTGAATACACATAAAAAAAATACGAGGGGGAGAAGGAAAACATCGTGGATTGCATCCGTAACATGTTTCACATGCAAAACAATATATTTTTTTTTAATTGGGTAACAATTTCATTTTTACCTTGAAAAGTATAAAAATTGTGAAATGCCTTTTAGTACTAGTATCACAATTTTTTAAATTATTTTTACTTTTGTCAACAATTTGTTGACCTTTTAGATTAAAAAAAAAACAAATCAGTGATGTCTAACAAAAAGTTTTTTTTTTGCATTTTTTTATTTATTAATGGAAGCATTTCGTTTGTTTAAAAAAAAAATCCTATATGTGCGATATATAACATATTTAGTCAAAAGTGGCAGTTTGTGATTTTAAGTCTTTGAGCAAAATTTTTAATGAAAAAAAATTCTCGTAATAATAGAAGTCAAGACAAGTGCTCAAATTTTATACCAAGTGCACTGAAATTTACGTATATTTTTGCATTCTAATTAATAATAATACATTAGCAATGAAAGGCCAATCATGGCTATTTTGATTTTAATTAAAAAGGAAGACCTTTGAACCATCGTAAGGCTTATAAAAAAAAAAGAAAAAAGGAAACGATCACAACAAGATTTTTGTTTAAATAAGTCATTTTAAAAAGTTCAGATCTAAGAGGAATTTACAGTCACGTTAAAACATTTATATATTATATATATTTTTTTTTAAGTCGGCCAGTTCGAGAGGCCTATCACAGCGCGTCAGGATGACTAGACGACCCTCAGGCCTCTCGCAAACTGCAATTCTAGCGGATAGACTCGCAAAATTCGTCTAGTCCAGGTACACCCTTCCTAGAGCAATGAAGAGTTCTTGAATATCCTTAATTTAGGGGAAAAGAAAGAAAAACAAAAAGGTAAAAAATAAAAAAAATAAAAAAATAAAATCAAAATGGACGAGAATCGACGGATTTTACCTATGCTTGTCCTCGTTCTTCCAGCTGCTCACGGCTATGTGAGGCGGCGGGAGGATCAACCTCAACGACTGCACTAGCTGAATCGTATCTATGATGGCTGTAAAAAAAAATTCATGTTAATAACATTACTTCCAATTGGATTAAAGCGGCGATTACTTTTTTGTAACGCTTCCGACTGTTTCCCGTAAGGCTTGCACATCGCCGGTCGGACAAATGTCTTGATCCTAGTCATATTCTTCATTATTTCGCTAAAAGCTCTTATGATTTTCTCCTGGCCGACTGAAAAGAAAAATCATATAAAATCTGTAAATTGGTCGTTTCTGCTTTGGTCTCATATTTTAATCTCTTTGGTGGTGAGTTTGTTCAAAAACAAGGTTTCAAGCATTGTTTGGATCAGAGATGGTTGTGTCACTACAGATAGTCAGGGATGGCTAGAGATTGTTGAAGAAGGGGCAGTTAGGGATGGTTGGGCATTGAGAGCAGCTGTCCCATTGATCAAGGGTAGTTTGCCTTTCTATACTACTGATGGACCCTCCTACTTACCAAATTTCCAAATGGCATTAAGAGCAGTCATCCCATTGAGTACATATGGTTAGGAATGATTAGAGTTCATAAAGGAAGAAGTATTAGGAGGTGGTTAAATTTGACTAGAGATAGATAGGTATTGTTTGAGATGGTTAAGTGTGAGAGATAGTTGGCCAGTATGATATGAAGTGGCCAGTAAGCATTAAGGATAGGTAGGGTTAGTAAGACTAGAGATGGTTAGGAATGGTGGGATATCATTAAGGAAGGAGGGGTATGCTGTTGGTTATGTGTCTTGAGATGGATAGGTACTGTAGGCGATGGTTAAGAGTGGTTGGAGACATAAGGATTGCTGTTAATTTTGTTAGATGTGGTATAAAGTGGTTAGGAATGGTTATAGTTTGGTTAATGATCGGTGGAGATTGTTAGGAAATGGCTGGTTATGGCTGGTTTGATATGGTTAATGTTGGCTAGAGCAAGTACAATTTGGTCAGAGATGGGGATAGTTGATATGAAGTGGCTAGAGATGGTGATGGCAGTTGGTTATGGTTAAGTTAGGATGGTTTAATATGGTTAATGTTGGCTTGAGCTTGTACAATTTGGTTAGGGATGGGGAGTTGGTATGAAGTAGCTAGAGATGGTGGTGACAGTTGGTTTGGTTATGGTTAAGTTAGGATGGTTTAATATGGTTAATGTCAGCCATAGCTTGTACAATTTAGTTAGGGATGGGGATAGTTGGTACGAAGTTGCTGGGGATGATGATGGTTATGGATGGTTTAATATGGTTAATGTTGGCTAGAGCATGTACAATTTGGTCAGGGATGGGGACAGTTGGTATGAAGTGATGACAGTTGGTTATGGTTATGGTTAAGTTAGGATGGAGATAGTTGGTACGAAGTTGGTAGGGATGACGATGATAGTTGGTTATGGTTAAGTTAGGGATGGGGATAGTTGGTTATGGATGGTTAGAAATTGTTTAGATGATATGAAGTTGCTGGGGATGATGATGGTTATGGATGGTTTAATATGGTAAATGTTGGCTAGAGCATGTACAATTTGGTCAGGGATGGGGATAGTTGGTATGAAGTGTCTAGAGATGGTGATGACAGTTGGTTATGGTTATGGTTAAGTTAGGATGGTTTAATATGGTTAATGTCAGCTAGAGCTTGTACAATATAGTTAGGGATGGGGATAGTTGGTACGAAGTTAGTAGGGATGATGATGATAGTTGGTTATGGTTAATTTAGGGATGGGGATGATTGGTAGAAAGTGGCTGTAGATGATGATGGTTATGAATGGTATAATATGGATAATGTCAGCTAGAGTTTGTACAATATAGTTAGGGATGGGGATAGTTGGTTATGGATGGTTAGAAATTGTTAGTCAGTCTTTTCCGTTGATGTCAAGAAAGATTACAAAATTCACATAAAATCTCTAAAAAAATTTATAATTTGTTTCTTTTGTTAAATTGTACCTTCTGTGTTTGATGAGGCATGTTTTTTACCATCAGTCGTCTCCTGGTTGAGCCAGGCGCCATTATGGACTGCGAGCAAATCCTATAAAAGTGTTTAAAACGTACAATAAAAAATTATTAAATTTGTATATTTCAACTCTCTTTCTGGAATGGAAAAGAGTTTTAAAAAAATCAAAAATATACTTTCCTCCATTACCTTGTTAGCACTTGTTAAACTGTCAAGGTTATCAAGGCTAGATTTAAGGAAATCAGAGAGTTTGTGCTGGTTCTGCGAAGGCGGCAGAGGCGTGCCCTTGCTCATCCTGTCCATGTCGCTCGTACTACTCTCACCTATAGAGCCTGATTTTCCTTTATAATTAAAATTTTTTATAAAAACAAACTGTTTATTGTATTAACTTACTCGAAGGCTCGGGTATGTAAGTCGGCTTGTTGTGGCTGATGTCAAGCTGAGATTTATAAAACCGGCACGCCGGGTTTGGACAATTGTTGACGACTTCGACAATGAACTCCTTCTCCATGCCGAAATTCTCCCGGCCAATTGTGTAAGAATCCATCACCTGAAATTTCCAGGGAAGATTATTTACTCAAGATTATTAAAAAAAAAAAAATACAATTTTTGTTGGAAAATTTTGGGACTTACAGCTCTTAATGTGCCTTCTAAACCTAAATGAAGCCCGTGAGGACCGTTCATGTGCTTGAGCATCACCGCGTTCGCAAAATGCTCAAAAGGAAGGATGATTTTCCCGTTATCCCTTAATATCAGTCTTCCTTGAGAATCGAGGGTCATTCTCGATGCCATCATCCTAAACAATTTACGGTCTTGAAACGATCTGATCGCTTGGGCTTTTTCATTACTGGACTTACTGGACGTAAGCGGCGCTCGGGAGCATTGAACCGTCCTTCGACTCGGAGATATACTGAAGCTCGACCTGATTCCAGCCCTTGTTCTGTATGTAGAGCTGGAGGAGCATGTACATCTTCTCGGTGACGAAGCCCGTTCCCCCGTACGGGCTGCCCATCTCCGTCTGGATGCCCTTTGCGACTATCGACTTCATCGATTCACCAACGCCGATGCTCGAGTGCATTATGCCTGCTCTGAGAGAATTTAATTTTAATTTATACTGAAGAGAATTTTAATAGTCAAATTACAATCATTTATGAATGACTATCCTTTTTTTCCGTCAGTCAGAAGAGTTTTAGTATCTTTTTTTCTTTCATTTGTATATTATAACGCTATAAAGGTTGGAGATAATTATAACCGACATAATTTTTACCGACAATTAAGATTATGTGGACTCAAACTACAAATACGTCTTGAACCAGATGGCCAAACCATTCAACTGAGATCCAAATTGGGTAAAATTCACTACAATCTAGAAGATCAATGACTGATGCTCTAATATTGTTCAAAATAATTTAAAAAAATGCTCCTCTCTACTAGAAGATTAAAAAAAAAAATTATATTAAACATAATTATTCAGAAATCGTGAGATGCGGTCTGGTGTGATGTAGGTTTCATAAAAACATTTTCTTTATCGTGCCAACGTTTCGATCTTTATTGAGATCATCTTCAGGGCTCAAAGTGTTTGTCTTCTGTGTAATTGTGCCATTCTTGCGTGTCGTGTTGAGAGGGGCACTCTCCGCCAGTATGGGGTTTCCCTTAGGTACGGCGGGGAGGTGGATGGGTAAAAAATGTCTTTGTGCCATTCTTGCGTGTCGTGTTGAAAGTGCCATTGGATAATGGATCTTCTTGTTGCACTTTGACAATGGGTAATGAGAACAAAAGTATGACTTATAATCCTGCTAGTTCTGGCTCTTCAGATTTCCCTTACAGATCTGAGAAGCATGAATGCTCAGCTTCTAAGTTGCACGTCAAAAAGTTCCAGAAAATCAAAATATTGTAAATACTTTCCACAATTATATTTTATGCGAAAAAAGATAGCGTGTCCTTAATTGAATCTAACAGCATTCCTACTTCTTATGATGCGTTTTTCTCTTCATTGTAAGAGCAAAGTATTAATTAATTTTAGAATTATTTTAGCTTTAAATGTTAGAAGTATCGATCACTTTTTTACTAATGAACACTCTAGATCAAGGTGTGGTCTTGAAAAAAAAAGCAGATTCAGATGTTGCTTTCAAGCTTTCGACCTATTTAAAGGTCATATCATTAATTACAAACTATGAAAAAAAAAGTTAAAATAATTGTACAAAACTGTTTTTTGTAATGTGACTTTAATATAGGCCCTAATGATGACCTTAAAATAGATCAAAAGTTTGGCAGTAAAAATTGAATTTGTTTTTTCTTCAAGACGTTAGATTGATCTAGTGTTCGTGAATTATTTTAGTCTGATTTCTTTTATTTTAATAACATTCTTAATTAGAATAGTTTTTTCATATTTTTTTAACAATTTTGTCTTTTAACTTGTACATTATTTTGTAGTTTAATTGATTTTTTAATATTCTAATTACATGTTCTTTTTTTTCTTTTTTTACCCATCCACCTCCCCGCCGTACCTAAGGGAGACCCCATACCGGCGGAGAATGCCCCTCTCAACACGACACGCAAGAATGGCACAATTACACAGAAGACAAACACTTTGAGCACTGAAGATGATCTCAATAAAGATCGAAACGTTGGGACGATAAAGAAAATGTTTTTCTAAAACCTACATCACACCAGACCGCATCTCATGATTTCTGAATAATTATCGATTAACAGTCACTAATCACCACATATATTAAAAATGATCCCCTGGAAAGGGCTTATAAAATACTAAACTGTGCAAACAACCAACTAGATATATTTTACCAGTCACAAAACTGTTATAAAAAAAAAAATGGAAAAAAAATTGAAAAATGGCAAAAAGGAGGTAAAATTCAAAAGGTGCGGTTGAGATGGGACGTTAGTGTCCGACTGGATCGAGGTCGTGATAGCTCAAGTGGTAGAGCAGCGGCGTATCTAGCCGAAGATAGTGGGTTCGAATCCCGCTCGTGCCATTGACATTTTTATCTCAACTAAAAACCTTAATTAATTGTAATATATTAATTGGTCAAGCGGACCTCAAAATTAGTGAAGTTATAAAAAAAATTGTCAATTCTAAACCACTGAAAGAAATCATGTATATATTCAGGTCTGATTATACTATTTATAATGTATTTGTTATATTTGTAAATGCCTCAATTATGAGGTTTGTAATATATACATACAATATAAATGGAAATATTTTCTGTAAATAAAGATGTATATCTAAGGTTTTTGTTTGAGATGAAAAATTAGTGTCACGAGAGGGGTTCCCATCTCGACCTAAAACCGTTCGAATTCGCCCTCCTTTTGCCATATTTTCAGATTTCGAGTAATTAGAGTTTGATTCGTGGCAAAAAAAAAAAAAAAAAAAAAAAAGGCAAGAGGGAAAATTCGAAAAGTGGGTTGAGATGGAAAGTTGGTGTCCGAGTGGATCGAAGTCACGACAGCTCAAGCGGTTCAAATCCCTCTCGTGACACTCAACCAAAAACCTTTGATAAAAATAATAATGTAACATGTACATGTTACAATAATTAATTGAAATAAAGTTTAATAGTTTATTTCCTTATATTGGTGTAGCTACAGCTTTTCTAAACCTCATTTTTGTCTGTTACTCCCGAATTCAACAAATTAATTAAACAAGTGTACTAACTAAAAAATCACTTATTTTTATGTTGTGACCCCTTCGGGAATGTGGATAAAAAACCGTTGCATTTAGTTCGCCATGGACCACATCCCCCAAGTCACAAGGCTAACACACATCCTCCGACGCGAACCACCTCTCGACAGGGTCCTGTGAATTTTTTTTATAACAATGTCAACGTTGATCCATGAAGATGGTAGTCTGAAACCACATATCAGATCAGTGGTTTTGCATTTCCTTAGACCAGGACTAGACTCCATTAGACTAGGTATTGTTAAGTGCGTCTCGGTTTGTATCTCCTTGGGGATTTTATCATGAAATTGTTTAAAACAAAATAAAACTTGTAAATTGAAAATGAAACATACCAGTTATGGGTGTAAAGAAAAAAAATGTTTCAACGGATCAATTATCAAGGCACTCGGTTAAGTCGGAGTCCGAGCCATTCTGGAAAAAAAGCGCCTGGCAGGGTTTGGTGATGCTCCGAGAAAATACGACAGTCAAAAGTGACAATTTCCTCCTGTCACATATGCTTTGTGCTAGAAGTCGGGACTGGTCCCTGGCTTGGCTGGCCCGAATGGGCGGGGGTCGCGCGGGGTCATGATGATCCTTCGTGAGGTTCTTCGACAACTTTGTGACATCACGAATGGTAAGATGAGAAAGTACCGTCCACCAAGAAAAAAATCAAGATTTAAAAATTTAAAAAAACTAACAAGAAAATATTTAATTCGACTCTCAATCTAATCGAACTGTCAAAAAAACAATACAACGTTTTATTTAAAGATAATACTTAAAAAAAAAAAATTAATATTGATAGGCATAATAAAAAAAAGCTTATCTTTATGAATTTATCTTGAAGAGAGCAACTGGCGCCCTCATTGAAGTCCGGCAATATCAGCCTTTTTCATTATCAGTCGGCTCTCAGATTGAATATGCTGAGAATAATTTTAATAATAAATCTCTTCTCTTTTGGCTTGGGTGCCACGCCCATTGTGCTATGGCATGGGATGGGTGAGTTGGATCAGGTTTAGAACATAGATTTTATAATACATTATTATCTGTAATATAACTAGGAGATAGCTGCTGCAACCCACTGAGCCTGGGTTCTTTTGCGAAACACTTGGAGAAATCGATACCCGGCGTTTATGTCAAGTCGTTGCAGCTCGGGTCGAACGTTTTCGACGATGTCCTACACGGGTTCTTCATGGACTCGAACGAGCAGGTGCGCCAAGCTTGCGAGATGATACTGAACGATGAGCGACTCAAAGACGGTTACAACGCCATCGGATTTTCACAAGGGTCACAGTTCTTGTATGAAATATCACATTTAATTTAATATACGGGTGATTTTTATATTTTTTTCTTAATACGCAGAAGAGCGGTTGCTCAACAATGCGGTACAAAGATGCAAAATCTAATCTCCTTCGGTGGTCAGCACCAAGGCATCTACGGCCTCCCTAAGTGTTTCTATCCTGAAAAACTTTGCAATTATATGAGATTATTGCTTAATAAATTCGCTTACCAAAGGTAAAACATATTTTATTTCTATTTAAAGCATAAAAAAATCATATTTTTTGTTTTCAGCTGGGTTCAGAATGAATTCGTCCAAGCGCAGTATTGGCACGACCCCCTCCGAGAGAAAGAGTACGTACAAGGCAGTCATTTCTTAGCGGAAATAAACAACGAGCGAAATTTCAACAAAACGTACAGAAAAGGCTTGACGTCGCTCAAGAATTTCGTCATGGTCAAGTTTCTGAACGACACGATGGTCGTGCCGTCTGAATCATCGTGGTTCGGCTTCTACACGCCCGGACAGGCAGAGAACATCACCGCACTGAGAGATTCGAGGCTTTACAAAGACAACAAAGTATAAATTAAATTATCAATACGATAAAGAAATATTTGAATTTATTTATTTTTTGTATAAAGGATCGTCTCGGGCTGAGGCAGATGGATAAAGAGGGGAAATTGAAATTCCTCGCTGTCGAAGGCGATCACCTCCATTTCAGGGTCAACTGGATCGAAGAAAACATCATCAAACCTTATCTTAAGTAATTGATTAAAATTTTTAAATATTTCTTATTAAATGTTTCATACGAATCGGACGGTTCTGTCGTCATTTTTGAAATACAATCAAGGGGGAAAAGGCATACGGAAAATGGATAAACCAAAAATAATGTATATTTCTTAAGTTGTGCTTTCTTTAGTATAATAAATGTGAAGATTGATTTCTGTCATGAAGAAACCACAGAAAATGATCACATCTGATGAAGTACATGTTATAATACACTCAAAGACAGGAAAAAAGACACTCATTTTGTTGTTTATTTCAAACTATATGTATTTTATATTATTACAATATATTTATTGTAATGTAAATAAAATTTTAAATTTTAAACAAATAAACTGCCTAATAGACAACATTGAAAGGTTCGATTTATTTTAAACTTCCAATTTTGGTTCATAAAATTGCTGTGCACAGAGGATACCCTTTATTTTCTGAGAAAAAATGGTTCAAAAATGAAAAATCTTTTATTGGTAGGTATCTTTATTGATCTAAGGGGTTTGATCTTGTCAACAATGATTTATTACTTATCAAATTTGGATATTTTTGGTGAGGTGTTGGCTTGGTTTGGTTCCTTTCTAGACAATGTCAAAAAATATTTATAAATGGGCATTCTTCGTCTAAAATTCCTGGAGGGGTCCCACAGGGCTCAATTCTAGGGCCACTCTTATTTAACATTTTCAACAATGGCTTAGTAGTGTTAAGTTGATCTGTTATTTTTATTTAAAGTGTGGTTGAGATGGAAAGTGTCACGAATGAGAGCTTTGATCTATTGTGATGTCCTTCGGGACATCATCTCAACCTACAACTTTTCCAAATTTCCCTCTTTTTAGCGAATATTCAATTTTCGTGTGATCAGATACACAGGTTGCTGTAAAACAAAGTATTGTTCTTTCAGTAATTATTATATTAATATATGTTTATAGGCCTGCTTGTGACATTAATTTTTCATCTTAACCACACCACATTAAAATTATAAATAAATTCACTAATTTCATCGTCTGCTTGACCAATTAATATATTACAATTAATTAAGGTTTTTAGTTGAGATAAAAAAAGCCAATGGCACGAGCGGGATTTGAACCCACGATCTTCGGCTAGATACGCCACTGCTCTACCACTTGAGCTATCGTGACTTTGATCCACTCGGACACTAACTTCCCATCTCAACCCCACCTTTTGAGGAAAAATTCCCAAAGGGTTCGATCCCAGCCGAAGATCGTGGGTTCGAATCCCGCTCGTGCCATTGACTTTTTTATCTCAACCAAAAACCTTAATTAATTGTATTATAAATATCACTTTGGTAGAAACAAAACCTACCATAGGAAGTAAAAGGAAATAGCAGAGCTAAGGATCTTAACATCACTGAAGAAAACTATATAATGGACGAAGAAAAACTCTCTTGGCTAATGAATAACTAACCAAATTCAAAGCAGATATGAGCACAGATATGGAAAGCCAGTTTGAAAAATTTACAGACTGGAGAATAACATCAAAGAAAATAACAAAAATATGGCAGCGAAAGAGAAAAAGCTTAATGCAGTAGAAAGTCTGAATAAAAGGAAAAATATTATAATTTTCAACGTGAAAGAAATATGCAATGAAAGATATTTCGTCACTGAACAACTTGTCATAAAATTGCTGAGAGAGAAGCTTAAAGTCAACTTGATAGAAGAAAAATTAGATTTCGTCAGACGTTTCGGACAGGCTAAAGAGGGACAAATAAGGCCAATACTGATCGGATTAACGACGTGCAGGAAAAAGAAAATCATACTAAAAAATAAAAATAATTTAAAAGGTAGTGAAATCACCATTGTAGAGGATATAGAATTGAGAAAGTGAGAGAATTAGGGAGCAAACCAGAAATGAAGGACGCCAGAGGGGAGGGAAAAATGGCTTTTTTCATCTCAGATCGGCTAGTAATAAAAGAAAACCCAAAAAGGAAAAGAGAAATAACGAACTCACCAACCCCAACGAAGCAACGTAACAAAGAAAAAAGATATGAAATTAATACATGAACAAACAGTAGATGGACAACATAGCTTCTAAGGAAAGACCCGGAACTGAAAAATGGAAACAACACGTAAACAATTAAAAATTGTAAGGATAGAATAGTTTCACAGAATGACTGGCCACCGAGGGAAACTGAGACCACATCCTCCCACTCCCAAACTCAAATTTAACAACAAAAATAATTTAAAAATTGGAACATTAAATGTAAGATCGTTAAGAAATGAAGACAAACTGATAGAGTTAAAAAATTCAATGAATGAAAAAGACATAGATATCCTGGGAATATGCGAGGTGCAACTAAAAGTAAATTTTTTTTGCATTATGAGGGGGTTATTACCACCCCAAAAATAAGGCATTTGTCATTAGCTTTTTGTAAATGACAAAATAGTGACTAACTTCTCTATACATTTATAAAATTGCCATTTTCATTTTTAAAAAAATTGCATTCTTTTCTTTACTAATTTGGCAATTCATTCTTATAAAACTTGCTCTAAGAATGATTTTAGATCAGGTCCTAATAATAGTTAATGATACAATACAGTGTTTCCCAACCTTTTTGTGCTGTGTCCCACTTAGACATTTTCAAATTCCTTCTGGCCCTTCCCTTAGCCTTTACAATTTTAAAATGCTCATTGAATAAAGTTAAAAATTATTGGTAACATCACCATAGAATAATTGATAAAACACAGTGCACAATTTTTTCTTTAAACCCTGAAAACTATACTGAGAGTCTAGGACGTTGGAACGAATATGAGAGATAATAAATTGTTTGATGTAGAACTCATTTTATGATGTTCTTTAATTTTTAAAATTTTCCGAGATTATAATTTACATGAGGAAAACGGTATTTTATCTGATATTTTCTTAAATTTGTAAATTTCAATCAAATCTATGGTAGTTTTTTTCTCTTTTCGAGAAAAGAAGGTTTTATCAGATCTACGATTTTCATTGAAATTTACCATTTTTTACTTAGCTGGATATTAATTAATGTCCGACAAATATTTTTCAACGATTCACCTGTTTAAGTGTAAAAAGTCGACTATTTCACGATGAAGTATAAATTGGATCTACCAGATTTTTTTTTCCTTTTTTTAAAGATTGATTGTTACTGATGCAATCCTATCATGTTTGAGTTTAGATAGAAGAATCAATCTTTAAAAAAAAATTAATTAAATTAGGAACACGACACCTGAGATTCAAATCCAAGTACTTTTAAAAAGGGCATCTGGTAGATCCAATTACACTTCTTCGCAAACCAGTTGACTTTTCGCACTTAAACTGGCGCATCATTAAAAAATATTTGACAGACATTAATCAATATCCAGCTAAAGTGAAAAATAGTCAATTTCAGTGAAATTTGCACATCTGATAAAGCCTTATTTTCTCGAAACAAGAAAAAACTCCCATAAGATTTGGTTGAAATTTCCAAATTTAACAAAATATCAGATAAAATGCCATTTTCCTCGTGTAAATTATAACCTTAGAAAGTAATACTATTCTCGGAATGTGATTCATTTTATTTATTTTCCTTCACCTGATAAATCAGTTACATTAGTCTGCAATAGGAAAATTTGTTAAGTAGGAAAATCATCACTTGCACGGATCTCGATTACCAAGTTTTGTTAGCAATTAAATAAGTTTGTTTCTTAAATTATAAGGCTCATAAATTTCATTTAAGATTAAAATTATGATATAAAAAGATATGGATTATAAATTTTACAGTATTGTTTATGTATAAAAATCAAGACGCCACATCTTATTTTCAATTAATTTGAAATTATAGATTTGAAATAAACTGTATAGGTGTTGATATGCAATAGCCAGTATCGGTAACAAATTATATAAGCCTATAAGATTACATTTATGGTGGGTTTTTTTTTAATGTTTATTGAAATTTTATTTTTGTTTTTTTTCCTTTTCATAACAACACGAATAGGTCATATCTATTTGCATATTAATAATGCTAAATTTTCTAAAAGATTTAAAAAAAAACATTAGTTTGTCATTATTCTACAATTAGGATCTTTAAAAACTAAACTGATATAACCAGTTTAATATGCATAATTTTAATGTATTATTTGACAGTTTAAAAAAATATACTGAACTATGAAAAAGTGAGGCTTTACAAAGATTTTAACAAAAAATAATTAGAATTAATGCAGCGATGGCGATAAGCCTTACTTGAAACGCTGTGAAAATAAGATACTGACAGTAATTATTAAGGGATATTGAAAAATAGCACGGAATGCTTGTTCAGCTATTTCATGGGGAACAGAAGCTACCATATTCGATGATTTTTCAACTAAATGACGAACGAGAATTGGCACATAGTTGACTTAAAATCTAAACGAGTTTTTTTCAAACTGCCCCCCTGGCGAGGACCCCACGTTGGGAAACACTGGTCTAATAAATGTGGGAACTTACATGTTCAATGCTCTTCCTGCTATATAATTAACATTGTTAATGGTCATTTAAATATTTAAACAATTAATGGTTTGTCACTTTAGAAGAGGCTTGAACATACATTTACTGTCTACATACCAAGTATAATACAATAAAATTTAACACTAGATCAAAAGTTTATACTTATAGAACTTGAGATTATCAGGCGAAGAATAATTTTCACTGGTCAAACGTCCAAACCCAACAGCGTTTCATGCCTGCATAGATTATTCCCAAAATCCAAAAGTTTCAGAGACAATCCCTGAAAGTAGCTCTTGGTAGTTTAAACGCAGGTGTCGCTGGTAATTCTCGGACAGCACTTGACAACCGCCTTCAAAAAAGGCCTAAAAATTACAAAAATTAAACAAATTCCATAAAAAGAAAACAAGAATAAAAACTAATTTAAAAAAGAAGTTTTATTTTCCAGAAATGTTTTACAATTTTTTTTTTGTTTTTCAATAACAGAACAAAATTAATTTGGAGAAAAAAAGTGTAAAAAATATATTTTTCAAGGCTTAAAGATGGTGTTATTGCAAGTCGACGCCTTCGAGTTCGACGAGTATCTTCGCGACATCTTCCTTCGTGAACATTTTGAACAAGTTCTCCTTGGTGATGGTGGCAATTTCGACGTTGGACTCGTTGAGCTTTTCTTCCATGACTTGTTTGAGGATGAGCAGGACGAGCTTGATTGCTTCATGGAGCGTCATCGATTTGGTGTAGTGTTCCTCAAGGCTCTGTTGAGCGCCTTCACTCCCTGAGCCGATCGCCTTGGCGTCGAACCGCAGGAAAGTGCCCGAAGGGTCGACGTGGTACAGCTGCGGCCCTTTGTCATCGTAGCCTGCAAACATGATGGCGACTCCGAACGGCCTGCTCATGACTACCTCGTCGTCCTCAAAGTCTCCGAACTTGATAGCAAGGTTCGAAGAAGCCTGTGCGACTGATTCAACGCTCATCTTCTCACCGTATACAAACGTGTACTGGGCGCACTCGAGCCTTGTGTGTTCTACGAGGGTCCTCGAGTCGGCCATCAGACCGCTCACAGCACAACCGATGTGGTGGTCTATCTCTAAGATTTTCTCTATTGTCTTCGGCTCCATCAGAAGCGATTTGATCCTCTTCTCCACGGCCAGGACTACGCCTTCAGAGGTCTTTATCCCAATCGCAGTGGAGCCGAGTTTAATTGCCTCTATAGCATATTCGACCTGGAAAAGCCTGCCCTCCGGCGAAAACGTATTCACGCCTCTGTCGTATTCGGATCGCGTCAGGAACATTGTTTTAATTAGTTTTAATACACACTCACCAAACAAAAAACGTTTTCTGTCTCAAAAACCGCACTTTCATGTACAATTTTCGATTGTAATTGTGTACCTTCTATCGTAAGATGACGGGCAAATGTGCCTCACAAATTCTTCACCGCGAGTCGGGTTATCCAACAGTGTCGCCAACAGCGATTAAAAAAATTATAAACTAAACATTTCACACTATAAAAATACTCCAAAACATTAAAAAAGTTATAATTAAACAATAAATTAAAAACAAATTTGTAAACAAAATTTACTTTAATAGTTTTAGTGTACATTTAACCTACCAAAAATATACCATACACAAGAATTAAACATACATAATATAAACAATATTGAAAGGTTTATCATCCAAAAACCCTTAAAAATCATCGCAGAGTTAAATGTTCATTCAAAATTTTAAAATAAGAGGGTTCCTGGAATAGATGTCATCGTCGGTACTTGTGGGCTGTCAATGGAGGGCCAGGAGTCCAGGATGTGTAAGCTAAAGGTGTTAATAACACATCCTGATGTGCCCGAGGAGTTTTATTTTTTTTTATATTTTAAAAGCTAAGAAAGTAATATTTATGTAAATTGTACTCAATACTGTTGTAAAAATCGGATGATAATTAAAAAAGGTCCGTTTGGTTTCGCCGTGTCGCGGCGCCATCTTGCTCCTGTTGGTTTTTGAACAGTCGAACATTTCAGATCCGGTTAATTTGCAAGGTAAAACATTTTTTAAAAAACACCTATTTTATTTTTATAATATTTGTTTTCTGTTTTAAAAATTTTGCCCACTCCGTTGTTCTATTGAGCATTGCTCACCCCCTGGGGGTAAGTATTGATCCATGGAGAAGACCCCTGCCTCCCTTATGCTTTGAATATTTATTTATATTTTCTTGCTTTTCTTAATGAAATACATAAGTTTATTTGCATATTTATTCTTTATTAATTTTAAGTTGGGTCATGTTTAAAATGTTGATTTAAGAAAAAAATACTGTTGAGGGTGGAGGTTTCCTTTGGGGGTGGTGAACTGTGGTCTGTAGGTTCTTTTTCTCTTGGGTAGTATATTTTTATAATGGATGTTGCAATGAACGTTCGGAACGAGGAAGAGTCGGACGAGTGCCTGGAACTTGATCTCGGCTCACCTTTCAGCTTCAGCCTGGACGGCATGTCTCTGCTCGGCCAGGGTGTCGAGTCGAACATGTTAGACCTGTTCAGCCAGGACGTGAACTGTGCGGTGCCCGGATGTCTGACCGACGAGTCGTCCGGTAAGATTTTCTTCGACTTTCCGCAAGAAGAGTCGACGTACCAGCGATGGCTCATTTACTGCCAGCGTCTGAGCGCTTACGAGGGCAAGCATAAAGTAGTTATTAATAGAGAGTCGAAAATCTGCTCGGACCATTTCAGGGCCGATCAGTTTGTCAAGAATTCCAAGTGGCTCAAAAAATCAGCGGCGCCTTGCGTTAACCCAGAACTGCCGGCTGGAGCGTATTCCCCATCATTGAAAAAAAGCGATTTAACTAAAGATTCGAATGATGAAGATTCTCAAGAAGACAGCACAGTGAAAAGTCCTAAAGAAAACATTACAAAAAACAAAACTAAAAACATTTTCTATTGTAAATTATGCAATCTTTCTTATTCAAACCAAGCTGAATACTTAGAACACAGATACACGCATACAGATTTCAACTGTATATGTTCAGCTTGTAAAAGTTCGTATGAATGTTCACAGGACTTTAATAAGCACTGGTCGGAGTCGCACGAAGGCACGCCGGACAAAGAGATCCAATGTAAAAAGTGTAAATTTATATTTAATTCTATAATAATATACGATTCTCATATCTGTGATAATATCGCCTTCAACCAAAAAAACATCTGTGATATTTGCAAGAAATCTTTCATATCTAAGGTCCAGCTTGAGTTCCACATGAAGTTTCATGAAGAGGGCAAGCGTCTGTACTGTGAACTGTGTGGTTTGGTGTTCGAGGATGAATCGGCATTCTACAGGCACAACAGGATGAAGCACAAATCACAAAAGTCTTTCTCCTGCGAACCCTGTGACAAGATGTTCAGCTCGAGGAAAACCCTGAAGCGCCATTTTAACAGGAAACATAAAGAAGACTTTCCTTGCGATTGCTGCGACGGCGTTTTCAAATCAAAACAAGAGCTTGAAAACCATACGAGCCGTCTGCACAAAATCGAAGAAGAAGCGTACAGCTGTACGATATGCAGGGAGGCGTTTCCAAGCGCGTCCTTCGGCATAATTCATGCGAAAACTAGGCACAATGTTACAACAGAAAACCCTTACCTCGTTGCCCCAGTGAGTATCAAAAGGGTCTTGATCTGCGAATACTGCGAAAAATGTTTTGCCGAGAAATCCTTATTGAACAGGCACAAGCTTTCGCACGATTACGAAAACCCTTATGAGTGTAAGTTCTGCACTCTGACCTTCAGCACACGAGCTGAGTACAATCTGCACAGGGGTTTTCATATTGACTCGGACATACCTTTCGAGTATAGCATCAATTTTAAACTGTGTCTGACCTATTTGTGCGAATACTGCGAAAGGTTTTTCTACTGCTTTTCCACGTTGTCAGAACACATGGCGATCCACTACCAACTGGAACCGTACATTTGTAGAAACTGTGATATGAAGTTTAAATCTTTGGAAGAAGCGTGCAAACACAGGTCGAGTCATTTCCAGTACGAAACGAACAACAGGAAGATCAGTAAGCCTTACGAGTGTCATTATTGCACAAAATCTTTCGTCCTCAGGAGTATTTTAATTGACCATATTAGGAAACACACGGGCGAGAAGCCTTTTATCTGCGACCAGTGCGGGAAAGGGTTTTCGCAGAGTTCTTCACTCTACACACACAGGAAATTCCACTCGAATGAGCGCCCTTATTCATGTGATTTTTGCTCGAAGACTTTCATATTGAAAGGTGACAGGGATTCCCATGTCAGGGCGCATTCGGGCGAACGGCCTTACATCTGCGAGTTCTGCGCCAAGGGCTTTATGACCCAGGGTGTGTACAGCCAGCACAGGCGGATCCACACCGGCGAGAGGCCTTACAAGTGCGAGACATGCGACATGGCGTTTAAACGCTCCTACGCGCTTACCCTCCACAAACGGATCCACACCGGAGAAAAGCCCAACACGTGCAACTTCTGCGGAAAGAGCTTCAGGCTACGCGGCGATCTCACTCGACACTTGAAGGTTCAACATCAACAATTAAGAAACTCTGGGACAGCCGAAATATAAATGAAACTCATTTGAATTAAATAGTTGTTAAATTTAAATATATCAATAGTTTTATGCAACAATAAATATACTTAGCTTACCTTATTACTTGATAAAATATTTAATAAACATAAAATAAATTTTTTGTTAATTACCTTGTAATTACAGTTTAATACACCTGCATTTCTTTTTATTCTTTTGCTTTTTAAAGGAAGACATGAAAAAAGGATTTTTTTAAAGTTGAGGAATTTTATGAATTTTTTAAATTTATCCTGGCATACCTCTACCAAGGTGGAGAGATAAAAAAATAAATCCTAATGGTTAGAAATTATTAGAAATGGTCTAGGAGGGTTCTAAGTTATGATTAGGTCTAGTTTAAAATAAAAATAATAATAAAAATAAATTAAAAAATAAATTAAATAAAGGCATTTATGTGTATCTAGAAATGTGGTTACTAATTGGTCCAGGAAATTGGTTGAATGTTTCTTTTTAAACTGTAATAATATTTCAAAATTAGTTTAGCTTTAGTTCAATTCTATATGACATAACTTTTTTTTCAGTCTTGAAACCGTTAGCCTGTTGGAGTTTGGATATCATAGGTGATATCAGTGATGATGGCACCTAGGTACATAATTGCTATGTATACAAAACAGGACAAATCTTGTAATAGTCGACTCATGGCCAAGGCTAAGATATTTTAATATTGGCTAAGACTTTTATTGGTAGCAACAGTCAAAGAAACTAAAAAAACGCAGAAAATGCGCATTTTCTACACATTTAGATAAAAATATAAAAATAAATAAAAAAACAGTAGTTGTTTAGTAAAAGGGGAAAAGGTAAATGATAAGGATAGTTAAATATATTAAAGAAATGAGAGCGATAGTTAATGAAATGTTTAAAACGTACAAAATGCAAAATTGGTCTACTTTTATATATAAAACAAACAGGGAATATAGTTGACTCATCACCAAGGATTAGTAAGATAGTAGTAATGGTTGAAGAAAATAAAAACACATAAAATGCAAAATAAATAAAACCTTTAAAGCTTAAAAGTTTTGGTTTTCATGTTTTATTGTAGGCACTGCAAAATATTTTACCAAACATGGAACTATTGGGGTTGATATTGGAAAAATTGAGAAATTATCGTGTTCTTACATGCCGTTGATTAGGTGAATTTAGCTCATCCCCGACATGAGACAGAATAAGCTAAATACTCTTTTGTGGTATAATGTCACTGTCAATATTGATAAAACCAACTAATTAATTTTATCTAAGGGTAGATAACAGAGGCACCTGAGGACAGTTTAAACTATAGAATATTTGAAATTTTATGTTTCTCCAGAAGACCACTTTGCTGCCTCTGGGAAGTTCATTCTCACTTCTCACTTTATTTCAAAATTATATTTGCCATCTGCCAAAAGAAGAATCGTAATGTCTGATTACGAAGTTCACTAAATTAAAATTATTTGATTAATAAAATCAGCCTTAATCTGAAATTTAGGCATTGCCCTATTTGGATCATTTGAAAATAATCCTCTCAATGGCAAAAATTTACTGTTTTGGTCATCATCTACTCAAATTATTTTGTAAGATAAAAAGTATTAAATTATCCATATTTAAAAGTATTGTACAAATTTGGCTGAAAGTATCCATACTACCCGGAAAAAGATTGGAGAAAATCTACCTTCAAAAGTTAACTACAGAAAATAGTAATAGAATGATACCTTACAATTGGAAAGTTTATGTTAATTTACTTTTGTCTTCTACTGGCGATGAAATTATTTCACTAACGACAAACTTCAATTTATAAATTTTTAGTTAGAAAATACTCAAATTACCTTTCATCCCTGGTTATTCATTCAGCAGTCAATTCAAATTATAATCCCCATTTCAGAATAATTAGCAATCTTGGTCTCAGCGGCTCTGCTTGTATTTATGAATGATCATTTAGAGATTAATCAGCCAGATGCAGTGAAAATAATATAGCCATCTGTATAAAGAATCAAAAATACATCAATCCTTAAAGCTCATGCTAAAGTTGTAATCGGAAGGAGTCAGAATCTTTACAGCATTCCTTTTTATTTTACAACATTAGGGAAAAATGTTTTTCATGTAAAAATGTTTTTACTTCCAGGCGATGCTTTTTGACTTATTATTCCCTAAAACATTGAAAGAAACTGATAATTTGTATAAGCATGTGATTTGAGCACTAAAACTGACACAATTTATTTCACAGCCGAAGAGTAACTTAATTTCCATGAATATACCATGAAAGGCAAAGAGTAACAATGTTTTCATTTATTTTTATTTACTTATACTTTCCTTTTCAACCAACAGTACTGAGGATAATTTTTTATTTTCTCATTTTTAAAATCTCTTCACCTATTACTAAGCTTATTCTTCTTTTTATTGTTTTATTATTACTAATATGTGTGGTATTTAGTGACTGTTAAATAATGATTATTTGTTGATCGTGAGATGCGGTCTGGTGTGATGTAGGTTTTAGAAAAACATTTTCTTTATCGTGCCAACGTTTCAACTTTTATTAAGATCATCTTCAGGGCATGGGATTTACAAACATTGTTTAAATTATAATACATGTAAGATGTGAAAAAAAATGAATTTATAAAATGATAGAAATTTTATTAGACTCAGTCAAAATATTTGTACTTTCTCAAAGTGTTTGTTTTCTGTACAGATGTGTCATTACTGTGCGTCGTGTTGAGAGTTCCAGTGAGATTTTAATGTTTTTTATTTATAAACAAAATTATTTGTGTAATTTAAATGTTTGTAAATCCCATGCCCTGAAGATGATCTCAATAAAGATTGAAACGTTGGCATGATAAAGAAAATGTTTTTCTAAACCTATGCCACACCAGACCGCATCTCACGATCTCCAAATAATCAATAATATTATGTATTATTTTTATTATAATTAATTTTCTTAATACTTTCTGTTTGTTGTATTTACCTGTACATATCTGTAACAATAGAAATCACTCTATCTGTAAAAGATGTATTCTCTAAGTACAGATTAATATAAAATAATAGTAATAATAAAATATAAAGTAATAGTTGACATGAGGCCAAGGAATAGTAAGATATTTTAAAAAATAGTTTGAGAAAAGTAGTGATGATTGAAGAAATTAAAATCACAGGTAATGTAAATTTATAAATAAAACTTTTAAAGCATAAAAAATATAACTGTGTAATGAATAACATTGGTCATTGGCCAAGGTTCGTTAGAGATATTTATGTATGATGAGGGATAGTTGGAGATTTTAATTATGATTAGTTAGAAACTGTCGAGGAAACTTTGAAAACACATAAAATTCTTCTATTTTCTGCCTTCATCTAGTTTTATTAAAATATTATATATATATAAATATAAACTAAGGCAAAATTTGTATTTTGAGAGGTCCATCAACCATTTGTAATTGTCCTCAATTTTATTTAATTGTGTAATGTTGTACTTTATAACTAAGGGTGAGAGAGAAAAGATAGATAGAGAGAGACTTTTATTTACAATAATTATATTTACAGTAGAAGAGAAATATAAAAACATGGGCAAAGCCAGTCTGTTAGAGGTTGTTGCAGAAAGAAAAAAGAATATAAGTATAATGGTGACTTAATATAAACATAGGTTGCTACTAAAAGTTACAACCATAAAAAGAACTAAAATTAAGAAAGCTAAACTGAATAATGAAATTAACTAAAGGATAAAATAAAAAATAATAAGAATATAAAAAAATGACAAAAAAATGTGAAGAAAAAAAAAGAAGGTATAAGTCAACATTGTTTACGAATAAAACTGGTAACAATACAAATAAGCAAAATATAGAATTGCCTTACATTAGAATAAATGAAATTAATAGAAAAATTTAGCAAATTATAAGAAATAACCCGCTAATCTTTATTTAAAAAATAAAATCTATGCAGGGAAGAAAAAGCATTAAGCGTATATTATAAATGTATTATATATATTGAATATTTCTATGTTAAACATTTTTGTAAATTAGAATAATTCCATAAATTAGATTAATATTGTTATTATTATATGTGTGTTACAGGTATTATTGTGTATGGGTCATACCTGGCCCACAACTCTAACTTTAGTTAGAAATTGTTGACGAAACTTTTAAAACACAGAAAATGCTTCTTTTTTCATAGCTCTAGGTACTTATTAAAATTGTCAGGTTTTAAAAAAAAATATAAATCAAGGCAAAATTTGTATTTTCTGCGTTTTAAGAGTCTTCAATGATTCGTAATTGTCCTTAGTTATATTTCGTGAGAATGCGAAGTTATATTATCGATTTTTTAAAATTTTTATTGTGTATTTCTGTTTTCAGTGTGAAGAATGAAAATGGGCCATACTTGGCGCACAATTCCGGGTGCCCTCTCTATAAATATTTATTTTCGGAATTAAATCGCCACTTATGCAAATCTTATTTTTTATTTATTTCTAATGCTAGATTTTAGTGGGCGATTTGAAAATGTTTGTAATAAACATATTTTCGTGTTTGAATTTGAAATCCGGGTAGAATTAATTTTTCGGTTTTTCGGGAGTTTAGGTTGGTCACAATGGGAGATTCTATATTACGCGTTTCCCGTCTAACCTAGAATGCTAGTGTGTCGGATTTTCTCCAGTCGGAAAAGTCTCTTGAACTAGTTTCAAATATCGATTTTCCGGGTTCGGGGTCCGTTGGAAAAGTGTTTTTCCACCTGGAACGGGATGGATCAGTGGGCCGAGGTCCGTGTACTCGTCTACCCCCACCATACATCCTGGAAGTGATCAATGCACCACGCACTTTCTCTACGCGATCAAGTTATATTTTTTTCCACGGCGAGATCTAGTCTTTTCCCCGTCAATTTTTCCCCGTTTATTTAATTTGAAATCTCCCCAGATGAAACTCGTCGTGAAAAATAATCTGGGCGAGACGGTCTCACTCCAGATCCGGCCAGAGGACACTTTTGTCGATTTAAAGGAGAGGGTCGAAGATGAAGCAGGCATCTCTTTGGATTTGAACGACATCCCGACCAACGGAAAAAGGATAATAGACACGCAAAAAGTCATCGAGTATTTCATCAACCAAGACCCGGAGGAGACTCTCCAGGAAGAGGCGGATGTCCAGTGCGCCGTTCCAGGATGCAACAACAGCAAAATAACGACACCGGACAAGGTATTTTTCGATTTTCCCCAGTTGCCCCAGGAAGAGACGAGATGCCATCAATGGGTCTTGTACTGCCAGAGGTTGAGCATGGCTTCGGGTAAACACAGGATGAACTTGACTCAGGAGTCGGCAATCTGCTCTGACCATTTCAGGAGTGATCAGTTTGTCAAAAACACGACCACCCTGTTGAAGAGGACGGCAGTCCCTTGCATCAACCCGGAGCTCGTAAGGATAGGCGACTTCGTCTCGCCTGCACAGTTTCCCAAGCTTGCACCACCTGAGACGACCCAGCCTCACGTGGTGACGATGCTCCATTGCCGACTATGCGCCCAAAAATGCCCTGATTTTGTCTACCTCTATGGAACAGAAGGTAAGAAGATCCGCCTCGCCGAAAAGATCAACGCCTGCCTGCCGATCAAAGTCCAGATGACGGACGGTCTGCCCAAGCAGGTCTGCAAGTCCTGCGTACAAGAAGTAGAGAGCTTATTTAACTACGGCCAGGTGTGTTGTAACGCAGATGACGAGTTGAAATCCATGTCAGAAAAGGGCAGTCTCATTGACGACAAGCATCCTTGTGACGCAGAGTCATGCCCGCTATGTGTCGAAGGCGAACTTATAAAAACAAACCTAAGCAAAGACAATCCCGAAAAGGGTGAAAAAGAGTGTGGGCTCAATGTGGAGATGGTGGCGATCAAAGAGGAACAACAGGACTATTTTGAAAGCGAATTACAGCCGATTGAAGAGGACGATGAGGACGAAAAGCCTAAACAGTTAGACGAGATGGAAGGGATGGAAGAAGACTCAATGCCTTTTGAAGAGAACGGAGCGTTCATATGCAGGATCTGCGACCAGGAGTATGTCGAGCTGTCCGAATTTACAAAACACAGAGAGAGCCACGCGGTCGACTCTCTCTTCCACTGTCCCAGCTGCGAGAACTACTACGATTCCATCGACGATTTGGAAGAACATGTCTTGTCTTCGCATAAAACATCTCAGAACGAGAATGTGCGCCTCCAGTGTAAAACGTGCAAAGCGACTTTTAAATCTTTCATACTACTCGCTTCTCACGGTTGTGAATCGATGCTTACGGTTCATTCCAATAAATGCAATATTTGTCATAAAACGTTCAGGTCGAAGGCACGACTTCAGTTCCACATGAAGTTTCATTCAGGCGCGAGGCCAGGCTATTGCACACTTTGTAAAAAGACTTTCCCTGATGAGGTGAAACTCTACAAGCACACAGTTTATCTACATTCTTCGAGGATCGGACATCATTGTGACGAATGTGGAAAGATTTTCAGGTCTCAGAGCGCTTTGAAGTATCATCAGAGGGCGCACATAGTCGATATGTTTTCTAAATCCATCTCGTGCGAGTGGTGCAATAAAAGCTTCGTGTCAAAGAGTCTCCTCCAATCGCACATAACATCTCATCATAAAAATTCGAGTAAAGAAGCTTCCTGTTTCACCTGCAAGATCTGCTACGAAGCCTTTCCCAGCACGTACGTAGCCGTCGCGCATATGGACGCAAAGCACAAAGAAGAGTGCATGGATGAGCCTTCGTACAGCTTCGAGATGCACACGTTGAACCGTATCTACACGTGCGAATATTGCGAGAAGTGTTTTGCCGAAGGTGCAACGCTCAATAAGCACAGGGAAGCCCACACTTCTGACATGCCATACGAGTGCAAATACTGCTCGGAGTCTTTCAGTTCTTTTGGAGAACATACAGATCACAAGTCGTCGCATGTAGACAGAGACATACCGTTAGAATACAGCACGAATTTTGTCATCCCTTTGACCTTCCTTTGCGAATACTGCGACAGGTGTTTTATGAATTATATAAAGTTTTCCGAACACCTGACCATCCATTACCACCCGGAGCCGTATCAGTGCAGGATCTGCATAGCGAGGTTTAAGACCTTAGAAGAAGTGATGGAGCACAGGGCGTCCCACCCTGAATATGCGACAATAGACGATAATAATTATTACAGGCCTTTTGAATGCCATTACTGTATAAAATCGTTTGCCCTTGAAGACGCCCTGATAAAGCACATAAGGATGCACACGGGGGAAAAGCCGTTTATATGCGATCAGTGTGGGAAAGGGTTCTCGCAGAGTTCGGGGCTGTACACGCATCAGAAGGTCCATTCGAACGTCAGGCCGTACGACTGCCCGATCTGCCCGAGGTCTTTCAAGATCAAAGGCGACAGGGACGTTCACGTGAGGAAGCACTCGGGCGACCGGCCGTACAAATGCGAGTTCTGCGGCAAGGCGTTCATGACGCAGCACGTCTACAGCCAGCACCGCAAGATACACACAGGCGAGAGGCCGTACAAGTGCGACGTATGCGGGATCTCTTTCAGGCGGTCGCATGTCCTCACGGTCCACAAGCGCATCCACACCGGAGAGAAGCCCAACATTTGTGATATTTGCGGCAAGCGCTATCGACAGAAAGGCGACATGCTTAAGCACAGGCGCATACAACATTCATTCCGCTGATGAGCACCCGTCTGCCATCAAGTGCCTTCTTGCCGCTTAAAAAACATTTAGTTCAATTTGTAATTTATTTATTGAATATTTGACAAATTATCTAGTTCTACTCTTTGAAATCTATTACAATCAAATTTACAAATATATATAATAAATTATTTAATGTTTTAATATTATTTTCAACAGTAACAAGTAGGAATTTATTTTTTATGCAATTATACAATGTATATAATAAATTTTTAAAATGTAAACTATTTAGTTACTATCCCCAGATACACAAAATTATCTAAATCTTATAAGCTTATCTAAATTGCTCAAAAATGAATAGGGATATTGCTAATTGTGTAGTATTTACTTTCCCTAGCATTTTTATTTTATTTTTATTATAAATTGCATTAAAATTTATTAAAAATTATTGTTTTTTACTGTAGGAAAATTTAATTTAGGGATTTTGAAGAATAACAAAATAAAAGGTTTTAATTCCATAATTTTGTTTATTTGGACACAATTTTTTTAAACAATTAATACTGTCACATGTTAAAACCTCTGTGCACCTTTTAAGGATGCTGTTAATGAGGTTGTCAATAATTTCATAAGGAATTTCACTCCAATGCTGCAGTTGTTGCAGGTTAACTGGCTGCAGATGTCTGCAACGCATCCCACATGTGCTCAAATGGATTGAAGTCTGGAGACAACAGGGGAAGAGGCAGATGGGAAATTCCTTGGTAATCTAAACATCGATGAACACCTCTGCCTCTATGAGGTCATTCAAATTTCAAAAATCCTTGGTTTGAGCAATGTATTCTTGGAAATAATGGACTGCAGTGAGGCCTTCAACAATGTGCAGTCCAGTTCATCCTCCGGTGAAAATCCCGGCCCAGACCATAACGCCTCCACTACACTGAAGGGAGCATGACCTGGGGCTTATACACATCCCCTGTTCTCAGTAGACTCTTCGGTACCTGTTAACACTATACAGACAGAAACGCGACTCGGTAAACATAACAGTGTACCAATTGGTGTTTTTCTAGGCGCTTGCAGCACCATATTCAACTAAGTTGCTGGTGGCGGGCTGTTGCTGCAGGTTGTCTCAAAGGGGCATACGATGTGAAGTGAACTATTACAAATCGTTTGTGTTGATGAGAGGCCTTGCCAAAAACATCTTGTACATCATTTAGGTTTCTGGCAGTCACTAAGGAGAGGGGTCCGTCTTGCAATGATGACAATATTTCTATTCTCCCTTAGCATCGTAATGGGCTGAGATGCACTGCCAGGCCTCCTATTTATATACTTATGTACTTCCTCTGAGAAACGCCAACTCCCTCTGCGATATCCACTTGCCGGTGACCTCGATGACTCATTCTCACAATAATATTTCGAACTTCTGGTTCAAGATGATATTTTTCCATTTTTAAAGAGCTTACAACTGGATTAAAATGGAGAAAAGGTGTTTGTTAAATTATTAAATGAGTAATCTTCACGTTTACTATTAATTATTAACATTTTTTTGTTTTTGGTTTGTATTTGCTATTTTGTTTTATCCAACTAACAAGATTATATCGGTTAATTTTATTAAAATTAATAGAATAAGAATAAATTACAAATGTCCCTATTCATTTTTGAGCAGTTTATCTTCAAACAACAATGTATTGTTCAAATTTACTTTTATCATGTGTACCACATTACTATTATTTTAATTTATAAAACAAAATACCCATGGTGAAAGTCCATCGAATGAATAAAACTGAACACAAAAATAAGAAAGTGATATACATAGTTAAAATGATTATAAACTACATTAAATAATAAATATAATTTTTTTAAAAATGTGATAAATGCAGAGTACAAACTGTATTTAAAATAAAATACACTTAAGATTTATTGATTTAACTTTAAAACATACCTACATTACCTTTTTCCAGCAAAAAATATTTTTATTGTTCTACATTTCTTATTTTTCCAATTAATTAAAATATAAATATTTTAGAAATCCTTGTCCGCCAAGGATGGACACGTTTCTTGAATGGGATTGTCATGGGGGCCATTATCGAGGGGGTTGAGAAATATGGAATGGTTAAGGATGGATAAAGGTGGTTGCTTAGTGACGGATATAGGTGGTTACTTATAGACGGATAGAGATGGTTGCTTAGAGATGGTTAGAGGTGGTTGCTTAGAGATGGATAGGAGTGGTTGCTTAGAGATTGATAGGGGTGGTTGCTTAGAGATGGATAGAGGTGGTTGCTTAGAAATGGAGAGAGGTGGTTGCTTAGTGATGGATAGAGGTGGTTGCTTAGTGATGGATAGAGGTGGTTGCTTAGTGATGGATAGAGGTGGTTGCTTAGTGATGGATAGAGGTAGTTGCTTAGAGAAGGATAGAGTTGGATGCTTAGAGAGGAGAGAGGTGGTTGCTCAGAGATGGATAGAGGTGGTTGCTTAGAGGTGGTTGCTTAGTGATGGATAGATGTGGTTGCTTAGTGATGGATAGAGGTGGTTGCTTAGAAATGGAGAGAGGTGGTTGCTTAGAAATGGAGAGAGGTGGTTGCTTAGAAATGGAGAGAGGTGGTTGCTTAGAGAGGAGAGAGGTGGTTGCTCAGAGATGGATAGAGGTGGTTGCTTAGTTGCTTAGAGGTGGTTGCTTAGTGATGGAGTGGTTGCTTAGTGATGGATAGATGTGGTTGCTTAGTGATGGATAGAGGTGGTTGCTTAGTGATGGATAGAGGTGGTTGCTCAGAGATGGATAGAGGTGGTTGCTCAGAGATGGATAGAGGTGGTTAAAGATGGTTAGAGGTTCTAAAGTTGGTTTGAAGTGAATAAGGATGTCCAGTACAACACCTATGGCTGGCAAAAAAGCATGTAAACCAATAGTTGAATAAATAAAATACACCCATGGTATATCAGCCTAAAACTTTCTACAAACCAGCTTATGTATGAAAGGAACTGATAAATAAAAAAATATGTCCACTGTACCAGTGTAATACATTTTATTTATTTTTTCTGTCAGTATTCAACATTTATTTACATACTATTTTGTCTGTATACTAAATACTTATCTCAACTAAAAACCTTAATTTATTTAAAGACATTAATTGGTCAAGCGGACCACGAAAACTAGTGAATGCATACCAAATTGTATTGTATTTTGTATATTTTATAACTCATAAACTCAGGAGATCAGAATGTTTTGGTATGTGGCTGTCCTTCACAGAACAAGGTCAATGAAACGATTTATTTGGGACTAACTTTATATGTATACTAAATTGTGTTGTATATTTTATGTTATTAAAATACTTAGTTTATGTTTCAGTTTGCAAAACCCCTACTAGATAGCAGTGACTGTCCAAATGCTTACTAGCAATTAATACCAAACGACTACTTTAAATTTTTCATTGCATTGTTAATTATTTTCTGTACTTTGTAATATAAATAAAACATATATTTAGCAAAAATAAGTATAAGCAAGATGAGAATTCAAATAGAACAAAAAAATACATTGTACCTTATGTTATTGTATAGACAAATGGCTTAAGAATATTTTTATTATTTAACTAATGGAAAGTTGAGGTTTATATTTTACCATGTTAGAAGAAAGTATTAAATAAATACAACTCTTGATTTATTATATGGGTTGGTGGTATGGTGGACCAAGATTTTGCTGGCTATTAAATGTCACTCAAGTGCTACAAGCTTCTCAGTGTCACCGGATCCAGGAGTGCAACGCCAACCCTTCCACTGCTCCGTATTCTAGTTCAAGGAGAAGCCAGAGCAGAGGTTCAAAGGCTCATAAACAGAAAACCATCTGCAAGGATAGAAACTGAAGGAAGAGATACAGATGCCATACTAGCAATCGATACGTTGTACGACAAAACAAACTTCACTAACAATTAGAAAATACTCTTATTAGAAAAAGAAAAGTGGGCCAAAGGAATATCTCTGAAGGGCTTCTACTAGTATACTGACAGCTTAAAAATGGATAGAAGTATGGGAACTGTGGTCCTCGGAATAAATCCGAAGCTTAGGTAAATTCACTACAATTTTCCAGTCTAAAATTATAGCAATGAATACTGCGCCAGAGAAATAAAAATACTTAGGAACACCTTCCAGAAAGATAGCCATTTTCTCTGACAATCAGGCTTTCCATCATGGAAGGTAAAGGCAAAAAGTTTACGGAATTCTATGGAAGCCCTGGCAGTAGTCAACACCAATGACCTGCCCTTGTATGGTTCCTGAGCATTCAGGACAGAGGCAGTGAGAAAGTAGACATGTTGGCCTAAAGAGGAGCCATTACACATCCTATTGTGGCCTAGCATCTAGGATCCTTAATGAGTCCAAAACTTGGTGGAACAATACTACAGGCATGAAGCACGCGAAGAGATTCATAGAAGGGCTGCCTGCAAGACTTACAAAGGAATTTCTGGTAGGGCACTGCCACATAACATGATTTCTACAAACTATCGTCACTTATATTCCTAGAGAACTGATTAAAGGCACTTGCAGCATATTGTACATTACATTCGACGACTTCGGACCTCCTTGCCTGCCACATAAGAAGGAATACAGACAGCCCAGAAGAAGAGATCACAGAAGACTTTGTTTTTGTGTCGGTCTATATTGGTGCAGATTTTTGCAACTAGAAGAGGAAAAGCCACAAGCAAAATTCTACACTAAGAAACCGCTGGCAATGCTCTGGAGTCAACAATCAGAAGCTAGCCATTAAGTTATAAAAATAGAAGAGTGCATTAGATCTAATCAGGTCAAGGTATCTTTTTTCTCTATCAAATTTATTCGACATACTTTTACCAAGCCCCAGGGATATTGAGAACATTACATGTGGCATTGACCCGAAAAATCTTCAAGATTTCATAGTAACAGAGCTGTGCATGGGGAGGAGGGTGAGAGAGATATGAATTGGTTAGAGATGGAGAGAGGTGGTTGCTTAGTGATGGATAGATGTGGTTGCTTAGTGATGGATAGAGGGGGTTGCTTATAGATGGATAGAGGTGGTTGCTTAGAGTTGGATAGAGGTGGTTGCTTAGAGATGGATAGGGGTGGTTGTTTAGAGGTGGTTGCTTAGAGATGGATAGAGGTGGTTGCTTAGAGACGGATAGAGGTGGTTGCTTAGTGGTGGATAGATGTGGTTGCTTAGTGATGGATAGAGGTGGTTACTTAGAGATGGATAGAGGAGGTTGCTTGGAGATGGATAGGGGTGGTTGCTTAGAGATGGATAGAGGTGGTTGCTTAGAGTTGGATAGAGGTGGTTGCTTAGAGATGGATAGGGGTGGTTGTTTAGAGGTGGTTGCTTAGAGATGGATGGAGGTGGATACTTAAAGATGGATAGAGGTGGTTAAAGATGGTTGGAGGTTCTA